TGGGAGGATTGACAGGGAGGGTGGGGATGCGGATGAAGGAGGAGAGGTTGGCTCTCAGGGTCAGGGACCGATGGACTTTGTGCCAGAGGTGGGAATTGGGCAGACAGGGTGGCTGCTGTTGGACAGCCAGCTGCGTCTGCCATGTTGGGCATGACAGAGGATTCGCAGCTGGAGCAAAGGGAGGTTGTGGGACGGTCGAGCAGGGATAGGAGAATACGGTATTCTAAAAATTGAGTGAAAAACAGAAATCAAAATTGTACTAATAACATTTGATTAAAGTGCCTCTCACATCAATCAGGAAGGCATCTCAAAGCATCTCACAGGATTTTGTGGGCAAACACAACATTTATTTTGTGCAAAGCAGTGTCCTACAAACAGCCACGAAGTAGAGAAAGTGAAATGACAAAGTGAGAAACAGTATGAAAGAAAGAGATGAAAAGAAAATAGGAGGGATTTCAGATGACTGGAGCTATGGAGGCTATCAGGTAGAGCAGTGGAGAAGTCTAGAGATGGTGAAGATGTGGATGAGGGTTGAGTAGTGATTGGGGGTGAGGTAGTGACTGGGGGAAGTGATGTTGCAAAAATGGAAGGAAGTAGACTTGGCCAGTGTTCAGATTAAATGCTTAAATAGGTCAGGTCAAACAAAATGGTAAGATTTCTTCCTGCCTCCATGAGACAGATTGATCACTCACCATTCAAGAGTGGTAAGATCTGATGGGAGCTGAGCAAGGAAAGCTTCAGTTTCGTAACATTAAGGATCATACATAATTTGATGTGTATCAGGTAAGTTCAGACCACACTTCGAAACTTAAGATCATTATTCAGGCTCACACTCTGAAGCAGTGCTGGGGGAGTTCTAACTTGTTGGAGGTATCGTCCTTTGGTTTAGTCATTAAACCAACATCCCACCTGTCTGTTCAGATGGATGTTAAAGATCTCATGGCACTATTGGAAAAGAATAGCCACTTCATGGCTTTGTGAGACATTGCTTTGCGCAAATTGGCTTCCATGTTCGCCTAAAAATGCAGTTAAAATCCTGTGAACTGCTTTGACGGCTTGATAAGGTGCTATATCAAATGCAAGGATTAATTTATCCAAATGGGAGCTTGACTGAGAGCGTGGCAGGTTTTTGATTTATGCAGAGGAATCGCAGCCAAATTCGATCCTGCTCTCACCTGATATCCACAGATCATTACAGTATGTCATACTGTTCATTTGTTGTTTTAAGTACTCTCCCTCAGCAGATTTCAAAATGCCACACCTCTAATTAATCACATTTCTTGCAGGTCAAAGATTAGATAGTATGATCTCTCTTTAAATTTAGTTTTTGAGGCATTTACAAAATCTCATCATTTTATCCCCTTAAGCTTCCTTCCCAACTCCATGTTTCTTCAATTTGCATTTATATAGCTTCTTTCATGTTGGCAGGATCTCAAAGCACTTTAAATGTTCTCCTGCAGTCAAGACAGCAGGTTAGTCTGGGCTGCAGTCGTCAACATCAGTCCTTTCTGTCAGTTGAAAGAATTAGTACAGAACATTTTAAGTTACATTTTTGTGCGAATTTATGCCTCATTCCCCCAAGATTGTTTTACCACTGTTCATGCTCCATCTCCTGTAGCTCAGTGGTTAGAGCACTCGCTTTGCAAGTGAGAGACCTGAGTTCAATTCCAGGCAGAGGGCGAAACCTTGGGCAAATTTCCTTACTCCACACAGAGCCTAATAATAATCCCTCCAAAACCAAAAACAATAATAAGTTGGTCATTTTCAATCTACGACTGTTTGTGGGACATTGCTGTGCGCAATTGGCTGCCGCGTTCGCCCACAAATATACAGTCAATTCACTTTACAGTGTGTTCTGTGAAGCGCTTTGGGACGTCCTCCCGACGTGAAAAGCGCTATATCAAATGCAAGGATTATTATTATTATTATCTCACAGCCCACTCAAGAATGTTACAAAACTCTCACAAAGGGGGAAGCCATCCATGAATGACTGGTATTCAAACATAGGCACTTTAAACAGCAAACAAATGACACAAAATGAGTAAATTAGTGAACTGGAATCTTCTTATAAATGCACTAATATCTAGTGAACAGATTGGCCACCTTCCATATTAAATTGGTGTAAATGATTACAGGAATATTTTCTAGATCTTTTTCCAAAATAATTTCATCCTCACAAGTAACATTCTGTGGACAGCATACTGGAACTAAATTCTGTATCCTGATTTACTACATGCACCTTTTCTATCAATGCAAAACCATTGAAACACATTCAATTTTTCCTTTAGAGTCAGTGATATGGTTAATAAATAGCATTTATTCATAATGTAACATAGTAGGATTTCTACATTCAAAACAATATTCAATCTAATTTTAAACTGACATAGCCCAAATATTTTGTTGGGAGCCAAATTTGGTTTCACAGCTTCAATGTACCATCTCTAAAAGGAATAAGATGGAAAAATACAGCATATTCTGTGAAATGCTTTAAGACGTCTAGAAGACGTGGAAAGCGCTATATCAAATGCAAGGATTATAGTATTAAATAGTTTTCAGAAGTGGTACACTAGATCTGTGAAACCAAATTTGGCTTCAACCAAAGATTTTGTTGGTTTCAGGAACTGAATAGGATTAGTAACAAGAACATGTAAAATGCAAACCTTGATTCAGCTTCAAATAGTCTCTTGGCCTGTTCCCGTCAATCTCAATAATTATTTATATTTTCTGTGTTAAATAACTGAGCAGTGATTTGAGCACCATGATCAATGGTGAAAATATGCAAACCCACATATCAAAACTGTAATGGAAAAGGGACAAAAAGGTAGCTCATTTAGGTAAATGACTCATAATCAAATATCAAAAGTGATAAGACTAAAAATGTTGTGGTTAAAATGTTGGTACCAATTCATTTGGGAGTCATGCAATTTGCTCATCCCAAATACACGACTGCAATCAATTTTGTACCACGTGTAAATCATGTGTAAAGCAGGATTTATGCATGTGCTTAATTGTATAATTAATGACAAATGTAAAGCCTTGGATGCTAAATGTAATTAATAGATTATTTTGTTGTTAATTGCATGTCTTACACATGACTCTTCACATACTTGAGTTTATACATGGTGCATAATAGACCACAAAGTTTAAAACCATTCCCCAGAATGAGTGCAAATGAGGTCAGACATTTTATAATAAAAATAACAATTCTTGCATTTGATATAGCACCTACATCAAAATGTCTCAAAGGACTTCACAGGCATTTGTGGTCAAGTGTAGACATGGTGGTCATTTTACCCACAAGATCTTACAAACAACAATTAAGTGAATAACCATATTATTAATCTGGAGGATTATTTGCCAGATAATCTGAAGAAATTCCTTTTCTTAAAAATATATTGCCTTGGGATCTTTAGCATTCACTAGAGTATCAAACTAGACTTCGAATTCAAATACTGGCAATAATAGGATGTGAACCCACAACCTTCTGACCCAAAGCGAGGTGCTGTCAACTGTCCTAAACTAATATACAGGTGTGTTGTATAGACTTTCTACACTCTACCACCACTAAACATTAACAACTCTAAAAAAAAATTAAAATTAAAATTACTACAACGCTAAGGGAATTTATTTTCTGTTCACAATCTCCTAGTTATCCAGTATGAGGCTGAGCATTGCTACACTAATGCACTATCAGCAGTTTATGAATACCTCCATTATGAACCCCCAGTCACAAGATCAACCAGTCGTGTTTAATGAACACTAATTAATTGTGATAAATTCCCTCAATTTTATTTTAAAATACTGTAATTTCTTGCCCTAAATTACAAATGTAATTGATGCAAACAGGCAATTCAAGACTATCCAACTCTCTTAACAGTGTAATATAATCAACAGGGATAATTTTCGTATAGATTCAGTTGTTATATCTTGAATCACTTTAAATTTTTGTTACAAAAACATTAGATAGTAATTTGACAATTGTGATTAAACAAAAGACATTGGCAGAACAATTATTGTAATACCGTATTTTTTTTAGTAAATAAAAATACAAGTTAACACATTTAAGAAATAAGATAAAACAAAAATTATAAATTAGATAATAGCAGTTCTCAAATATTGACAATCAGCAATTTACCATTTCTGTATTGGAGTTTTACGTCATACCCACTCTGTGCTGTTATAGCACAAGAGAAAAGTACAACATTGTTTACATTTGAGAACAATCTGCATTAATAATAATCCCTCAAGAAGATAAAACAATAATAAATTGGTCACTTCAAACAACGACTGTTTGTGGGACGCTGCTGTGCGCAATTAGCTGCCGCATTTCTCCCTCAAATATACAGTCAATTCACTTTACAGTCTATTCTGTGAAGCGCTTTGAGGTGTCTAGAAGACATGAAAAGAGCTATATCAAATGCAAGGATTATTATTAGTCTTTGATACAACTTGTGCATGTCTAGAATCAATATAAATTGACATGTGTGGTATACAGGAACAAACTTTGTTTGTTTTAGTCTCAATTTGTTTTATTGAAATCGTTTGGATAGCCTCAAATTCAGACTAAATTGTGTATATTATCTACATTATACACTATAAAACAAAACCGTTCTAAAGATTCATTTTCTTCCTAATACATTATCCTATTTATATCAGAATATTTTCTTGCAGGAGAAACATTATAACTAAGAAATTGTCTCAAACATAATTTGATATGGAAGCAAAGAAGAACCACAAGGAAAATGACCGTTGTGTGTTTTGCCAGAAGATATCCAGTTTTCAGTTCATCAATTATAGAATGAAAGATTAGGGAATGTATTTATTGCCAGGAATGGACATAAGTGGCAATAATATCTTAGAAATAGGCTGGTTGTAGAAAGATATTTTTTCTTTTGACATTTTTTCACATGAAGTTAAACATTTTCTAATTTTAGAACTCAAATATTCAGTTAAACATTATTTAAATTTTGATAATAATCAAAGATTTGGGAGTTCTAAAAACATACGAATACAATATGACAAAAATTGCAATTGATTAAATGTCAAAGGACAGATTACTTGACAGACATGATATTCTCATTGGTAACAGCAAATGTTTTATATTGGGCATCCATTGGATAATTTACCCAAACAAACAAACCTGATGAAATTGTAAATTATCAGGTCTGTTCAATATATGTATCTCACATAATGGGTGTTTAACGTATATTTTTGATTTATACCTTAGGTAAGTGTATTGATTCTGATAGCCAAACTAACTGCCATATCATACGATCAGTCCGTTAGCTCCCACATGATCAAAGGATTGCAATCACCCTCATGAAGTTGTTATTTATCACAATGTGCTGCTGGTTCACATCTTACATTTGCAGTAGATTGTTATTGCTTTTGGAACACCCTAAATAAAAGCTGACATTTTTTGTGTTCTGCATGAAGGGTACTATTGTTGTGATGCCATCCTACTGAAAATATAATTAATTCAGTTTAAAAGGAATTACTTTTTTTTTAAAGTGATTCCAATCTATCCATCCAGATGATTTGAAATTGTGAGCCATCCATGCAAACAAATTATATGCAATCCAATTATTAAGAATGTAAATCATATTCCTTTTATCCATAGATTTCAATACTACAGTAATAGAACCCATGTAGAAGCAGTATTAACTGAGGTGTAGAATCATGAAAGCTTTATTCAATTTCGGCAAAGTTATAAACAAAGACAAATTTTGTTGATACAAGTTCCACTATTGTTAGCATGAGTATTAACTGCTCTGAGCAATATGATGATGATTATGTTCACAGTCTCAACTCTTTTTGCCAGAATTTCTGTATGGTCCATTTGTTTCATTTATTTGTAATGTATCAATTGCCACTTATTGGTCAGTCTTTAGTCCTCATCATAGGTTATTAGTAATTCAGTACCACATGAGTTGGTATGTAACACAAAGTACATAATAAAATAAATTAACCGAATAACCCAAGAGATTTTCCACACAGCTGTATTTAGTTACTAATTGGTTGTGACCTGATCACTGAAAGGCTAAATGCACAATGACACTAGACACCAACAATTGGCATAGATATTACCTGTCCTTAGAATGATTTATTTTCCAACAGAAACATTGTGCAGGTTATTTTTTCTAGCTACAAAGAAACCAATGAGTAGACAAAAAGGATTTCTTCCATTGCATCTGTTCACTTAACAGTAATTAGCTATAGATGGAAAATGTAAAACATTAACAAGTGCTTTTTATGAAAACTTCAGAATTTATGTTCAATGTTTTTTTTCTCTCTCCCCATCTTTATAAAAATCAGTACTGTGGGAAAGTTTTGTCAATCTTACGAGCCCAAGCCATTAGTCCACCCTGGATATCCTTCACAAATAATGTGCCCAGGCCTTTGTCCAATATCTCTTCTAAGATTTTAACAGCCTTCTGGGAATCATTTCCTTGTTTACAGATGACAAACACTGGAATTAGAAAAGCAGGAAATTAGGCTATATTGCACCTCATGGAACAAAAATCTTTTCATGATGAAGTGCTATACAAATAGTATCTCAAGATTTAGCAAAGATCATCTGAAGCAGAACAGAATGTACAGTAGAACCTCCCTAATCCGGTCACTCAAGTAACTGGTCAAAAGTGACTTATTTGGTGAGGTGACCAGATTACTGAAACAGGATTACATAGGATGAACACTGAACAACTATACTTCGCAGTTTCACTAAAATAAGGGCATTGTCACATTTAAAACAGATCTTAGGTTTCTTTATTCAAAGTTTACATGAGAAGTTAAAATCACAGTTGTTTGTACCGCGTTTGTACCGGAGGGCGCTTGTAGTGGCCAGAGTCACTGACCATTGTCCTGAATAGTGAGGTGCCCAGCAGACAGCCTATCTTTTAACATTGACAATGAAAGTGACTGAAAATGTGTTCGTAATTGTGAGGTGGCTGGATTACTGAGGTGACTGCAAACCGTGTTTCTACTGTACTGCTAGGCAGTACAATTTACTGCTTTTCTAACAATACTATTCCATAGCATTGTAATGTTCCCCGATTTTTCCATTAATTCTAAGCCATTTTGTAATTTGATAGTTATATCAAATTTATCCAGATGTCTTGGAGTTGGACTTCCACTCCCCCCCCCCCCCCCCGTCCTCTCACCACCATTCTCATTAGAAAGCCAGGTACGTGAAGGATTCGCATCATTTTGACTGCTGCTGTCCTGCTAACTGGTAGCAAAAGTCAAAAGCTCCAATGCCACGATTATCACAACTGAGAATAGCATTGGGGTAACTGGATTGGTTCTGGCACATCCATATACATTCAATGTGATAAATATCAAACATACTGGCAATTTAGCCTTAATATTGTGTGTTCCAGAGTAGCTTTAGTGGATTGTCCTTTTCCAAAATGCTTCACCTCAATTAATAGCTCCCTCTGGTGGCGAATATAATTAATGATATTGTTTTCTCAGTCGTAAGGACATTGCTCAGATTTGGCAGCAGGCATTATTTTTAAGTAAACTATCCTCAAGAGCTTTATTAATGCTCCTCATGATAGTTTTGATGCTGTGACAAGCATGCCACTTTTCCCCTAAGCCTTACATGAATGTGTTCCATCTAAAGTTTTTTTTCCTTTGAGAACACAATTCGGCATTTTAATTATTCGTCATAAAAAGAAGTGTCAAATTACTGTAAATACATCTCAATGTTAATATATCTGGATATTCTTCTATTATGAAGGCATTCATTACCTAGCAATTTGCCTGCCATCTATCTGAAACCAGAATAGAACTACAAAGGGGACAAAATTGATTGGATTGTTTTTGGTGGTCAGGTTACCAATAACAGCAAGCTGAATTCTATCCCAGTCTACTTCTAATTAAACAGAGGTACTATGTTTAGTATTCAAGATTATGTTATGATGGCATTGTAGTCATGCCGTGAATTCAAAGATAAGGTTACCTGAATTGAAGAATGTAAGATTACATGGAGATCCTTGCAGCTTATACATAACACAATCAGATACTAATCCTTATAGAATAGTCTAAATCTGTATTTGGTACCAGAATGTGTCAACTCATATATAGTGCAGTTAAGGTAAAGGCAAAAATATGTATTATTTATGCAGCAGTTGACGGCAGTAAAGCACCTTTATATAAAAACACTAAAATGAACACTGAGATCTTGGATTTAAGGTCAAACAGCAAACACAAGAGATGCATACAATATCTTGCATTACAGATTCTCTTTAAAAAGAGTGAACGTATTCATACTTAAATAATAATTTAGTAAAAAAGTTAATAAAAAGTTAAACGTTTCAGATATGTTTTGGCTAGCAGCTGAGCCAGGACTGTCAAAGCAAGAGCCTGGGAATGTCCTCCTGATGTGGAAGGAACAACATAAATGTAAATCTGCATTGTATTTATTGGTGAATTGATTTACAAGCCAGTATCAAGGATATTAAGCCTGGAACAATGTAGCTAATACCCAAACATCCATAGAAACAGTAGAGATTGGCTGAATGCAACAAGTGCGCCTGACAAATATGAACTCCTTACAAAGAGCACAAGACTGAACTACATCTCTGTCCAAACAATATGTTTTACTCTTGGTCCCACCACAGTCCATTTGAAGGGAGTTGAGCAGACATCGGCTTTTATCTTGAACAGCACCCGGTTTTAGAGGCACAAAATTATAATCTAAATTATCTCAAGTCAAAATGTTCTTTTAGCATTGTTCTTATGTCAAACAAGTTATTCATAGGCAACTTAATGCAAGTATAAAATTGCACGTGATTACTGCAGTCTGAAAGTAGTATTGTGATATGTAAACAATACTAAAAGAACACCTTGGCAGTGTTCTTTCAGTATTATTTACATATCACATAAAACAAAGTTACAACTAAACCCATTCAATGTTCTGAAAACAGTGCTTGATCTAATCTGAAGCTGCTGAGCCAGCGAATCTCCAGTCAGTCAATCAGTTCTCACACGGTTGAGATTCTCACTGCACCAAATTAGCCACTCAACACTTGGTAGTTTAAGGTTTCCAAAGCATCAAATACTAACATCTGCTGTTGTAAGATACTAGACCGATTATCATTAAAGAGTGTCCTGGGAGAACATTTTGTCACAGGAAATGGGCTAATTTTTCCTAATGAAAGATTCCAACTCTATACAGCTGGTAGCTGATAAACAGTCTCATTCAATTATTTAAACAAGGAAGCAGTTGGATTTATAATAATAATCCTTGCATTTGATATAGTGCCTTATCACATCTTCAAGATCCTCAAAGTACTTCACACAATATACTGTAAAGTGAATTACTGTATACTTTGTGGGTGAAACGTGGCAGCCGATTGAGCACAGTAGTGTCCCACCAAAAGTCCTGGATTGAGTGACTAAATTATCATTATTTATTCTGAAGGGATTATTACCCCCAGGAAAGTGATCCGCCAATTGAATAATAACCGGTTCCTACTTACTGCTAGCGTGTAGAGTAAACAGAGGCATGTAGAGTAATAAAACCCAGGTCTCAAAGCACTTCACAGAATATATTGTAAAGTGGATTGACTGTATATTTTGTGGGCAAAACAATTAAAATTGAAAATGAGTAAGAGACAGTGTGGTCATTTTTTGATGAATTTGAAACAAAGCAATTGAAGCTTAGTAGGCACAGTAGAGAAAATTTTCAAAGGAACAGAAATCTCATTACAGCAGTATTAATATGATAAAAAAATAAAGTTGTGACTGGCTGAGCAAGGGTGAACTTTCCCTTTCCTTCCCCTCATACCTATTGCTCCATGCATCTCCAGACCATTACATACAACCAACCAGCAGTGTTGGAGAGAAATACAAACATACAGAAAGTAGGACCCTCAAAAATGTTTGTAATACTTCTCTAGTAACTAGTTACAGCCCCAGAGGCACAACAGCTATATACCAAAAGCAAGGATTACCCCACCCTTTTGACCAGTGAGCAATACATGAATCTAAAAGCCGGGGGTTGGGGGGTGGAAATCATTTTTAAAAATACATATTTTCGAAACCTAAACATAAACCTCTTTGGTCAAACATGTAATTTTAGGTCTATGCCAACAGATGCATATTTTATGTTTAAGAGGGACATCCCCAGAGTGCCTTAACAGAAAAATTTATTTCAATGCAAAAAAGGCAGATGTTTTTTCCTAGTTTTCCTACATGAGAGGGAAAAGGATGAAATTATACAGCTCTTGGCCCTAACTACAAAGGTATTTCAGGTTCAACCACTCTTGATTGTAAGAACTCTGCCAACTCCATGGCTCATCTTCCTTAGATCTGTCCCAAAATATCTGGCAACATGAAATTGCTATAAAGTTGTTAAACCATCAGAAGGCACTCATGGCTGTGGATGATGAAAAACACATTGCTTGATGCTTCTAGCATGCACTTTTAAAGCAATTGTAAGCAATAACTCAATTTTTGAAGATAAGCAAACTTACAGAATTGTCATCTATAGACTATTTGAATTTTTCTCTTAGATGCAAGGGGGATTTCAGCACCTGGATGAAGGGCTAAAATCCAGTTCAGCACATTTGCAAACACATCTGTAATCATCTTCTATTTTACAAAACGGGACCTTGTAAATGAAACCCTCTGTTGAACTGTTTCTTGGCATCTCACAATGTAACCATAAGACTTTATAAAGCACGATCTGGAAGAACTCTCTTAGTTGGTACATGCTTAAAATGTATGAGTCTGAATTTTAGTGTCTGATTTTCTGTATCTCATTTGGCAATGATATTAAAGTGATTCTTTGCCCAAACCTCAAATTATTTTCTGAATCCTTAAATTTTTAATGATACAATCAAATAAATGAAAAGACAATATATATTTGCCATGTGGACGAAAATGAATCTCTATCCTACTAATTAATTGGACCGACTCTTCATAACTTCTCTCATTGATTTCAGTCCTTAGGGACTAGAACATTGATGCCTCAATCTTCAAACAGAATTATGGCTGGATGAATGTAACTTTGATAATATTATTGTTCGTTACGTGTAAAGGCCCATTTTTTTTGAATGTAGGTATAATATCCATTAATCCCCCCCCCATCCCCATCAGCTCTCAACTCATCCTCTTGATTATCTTACTCGGTTGTAATCCTGTGTACATTAATCATCCTTGCCTTTGGTTTAGCACCTCTTCTAGTCTTTGAGATGTCTCAAAGTGCTTCACTGTAAAGTGTCGTGACTGTAATTTGTATGCAAAACATGCCAAATTTGCAAACAGTAATGTTCCACAAACAGCTATCAAGTGAATGACCAATTTAATTTAGAGGGAATTGTAGGCCAGGATATTGAGGAAACCTCCTTTCTTTTCAAACAGTGCAATGGGATCTTTAACATCAACCTAAACAGAAAGTCTGGACCTCGGTTTAATATTTAGAGGACGGCAAAAGAGGGCTCCCCAGCATTGTACTGTAGTGTCAACCTAGACTGTGAGTTCAAAGTCCTGATGTGGAGACTGAACCCACATTTCATTTTTGCTGTCTGTTTAGCATTTTTTTGAAAAAATGTGTTCATAAATTAATATTTTAATTTTCTATTATTAAAAAACATTTTTTAGAGAAGTTGCCAAACCATATGCTAGAGATGAAGTTGTTTGCTCGGGCACCTTGCATAAGTGATTCTAGCAGAAGTGATGTAGCAGAAACAGGAAGTACAATGATTTTCCACATTAAACATACACAGAGTAAAATCACGTACATCAACAAATATCAATATGCAGTGAGAAAAATACCTGGTAATGTGGCTGAATCACATGCTGCTTCTTTTCTACACATGGTGATGTTACTCTGTAAAAGCTTCATGGAGTCCGCATTCTTTTCCTCTAATTTGGCTAAAGGAACATCTGATGTTATGCATAGGAAAGTCTTCATTCAAAAGCAAGGACATAATTAACACAATAATTATATTTATTTCCCCAGTGCTAGCCAGATTAAAGCAACCAATGCTTAAAGAAAGGTTTTTCAGAAGTTATTTCCATTCATTAGTGAAGTCAGTGACTAGACGACATAGTAATGAGATAGCCACAAGAACAGTAAAAGGAGTACTTAGGAGGAATTTTTTCATGCAGTTGTTTGGATGCAGAATGCCCTGCCAAATAGGGTGGTGGAGGCAGAGTCCCCTGTAGCTTTCAAGAGGGAGGTGGACAGGTATATGAAAGGGACTTGAAGGGGTATGAGGATAAGGTGGGACTCTGGGATTGAATTGATCTCCTTGCTCTGTGAGCCAGTATGGACTTGACAGACCGAATGATCTCCTTTTGCACTGTAGATTTCTGTTTCTACGAGGTGATGCTCCTCCCCCACCCCACACACAAACTAACTTAAGTGAGAAGGTTGAATATATAATATATAATAATCCTTGCATTTGATATAGCACCTTATCACATCTTCACGACATCTCAAAGCGCTTCACAGAATATACTGTAAAGTGAATTGACTGTATATTTTATGGGCGAAACGCAGCAGCCAATTGCGCACAGCAGTGTCCCACAAGTAATCGTGGACTAAAGTGACCAAATTATTTTTATTTATTTTGAAGGAATTATTTCCTCCGGAAAAGCAATCCGCCAATCATCTAACTACCGGGTTCCTACTTACTGCTAGGTAAACAGAGGCGTGTGGAATAAGGAAACTTTCCAAACGTTTCGCTCTGCCCGGGAATTGAACCAAGGTCTCTTGCTTGCGAGCCAAGTGCTCTAACCACTAAGCTACAGGACTCCTTTATAGGAGGATCAAATTTGATGGATTATTTTAAGGACATTGTGAATCATCTAGAAATGCACTGTTTAAAAGAATAGTTTAAGTAGCCCCTTTATATCATTCTCAGTGTCGAATAAAGGGGTTAGGTATCTGAGAGGAAGATTCATAATATTCTGGAGTGGGAGAAGAACCACTGCAGAGGGAGATGGAGAATATCATAAAATTTGAAAGCACATTAGTTTAACATGATGCAATACTAGCTTTAATACTTTGAACTTATTTTATATAAGATCCTTCTAGCCAGCAGAGACTTTCAACTCATTAGTCCTGTATGGAGTCCTGGAGCTCAGTGGTTAGAGCACTCGCAAGCTATAAACCTGGGTTCAATTCCCAGCAGGGCGAAATGTTGGGCAAGTTTCCTTACTCCACACGCCTGTTTATCTAGCAGTTGTTAATCGATTGGTGGATCGCTTTTCCAGGAGTAATAATTCCTACAAAAAAATAATAAATTGTTCATTTCAATCCACGACCGTTTGTGGGACACTGCTGTGTGCAATTGGCTGCCAACACAAAGCATACAATCAAATCACTTTAAAGTATATTCTGTGAAGTGCTTTGAGATATCTCGAAGATGTGATAAGGAGTTATATCAAATGCAAGGATTATTATTATTTTTAAAGTTCCCCTTGAATTCCAGAAAGCATTAGGTGCAGGATGGCAAGGAGTTTAAGCAGCTAAAAATGTGTAGCTTGCCATTCAAAAAACACTGGCTGGCAAGCTTCCTGCTGCTTGTCCAGCTAGGACCACCCTAACCCTGGCTTTCGGGGTTAACAGAAGCTGAGTGGTAAGAATTGCTTCTCCCAGTGACTAGCCTCTCTCTCCAATTCTTGCCGACGAACCAGGTTGGTTGGTCTGTCATCAGCAGTGTTCTGGAGTACTGCAGACTCACCTGGCGGTTTGGCTCGATTCCAACATTTCACTGCCAAACACGTCACCATGGAGTTAGTCCAAGGGGATCCTGCTTATCTCCTCCTCATATTTAAACTGTTGATTGTAGATTCCTTTTATATCCGCCTCACAATGAAAAATTTAGATGCAAGTGGACATATCAGCACTTTATAAGGTGAGGAAGACAATCAACAGGATATTTCCTCACTAACCTGCCCTGTTTCAAGTGACAGATGGGCCTGCTTGTATTTTACAGTATTATTATACTGCATATCACACATTTTACTGTTTGAATACAACAGCTAGGTGGTTAAAATCTGAGGAAAAAAGGCTATCAACCTCTCTACATCATAAGTTTAGCCTCAGTTCATACAGGAGTTATCCTGCAGCTGTTCTTAGGCACACACTGGACATGTAGTGTTAAGACTTTTTTTTTAAATATAGATTTTGGATTTGCTCTAAAATCCAATCTTTTAGACATCAAATTATAAATAACATAGATCATGTAAAACGTAGATCTCTGGAGTCAATTAATTATCTCCTGGACTCGGTTCAGCGGCAGCATAGAACTGTGCCTTATGAGAATTAATTCAGGTCATGTTAACAATTTGGGATGCTTTATCCAGTTTTATGACCAATGGACCATTTATTCGTCAATTGAGCTGTGGTTGAATTCCTGAATTGAAAATTACAACTGGGAACAATCTTACAAAATCTCTTTTGAATGGCCCTTTTAATGCAATGCAAGTTATTTTTATGATTGTTAATTCAGGGGTAATGAAATAGGATGAATATTTTATCCACATGAAAATCAAAAGACTAAGAAGTATGAATATGTACTTGATCGGCTATTTGGGTGATGTACAAGGCCTAAATTTGCAAGATGCAAGAATCTGTTTTTATGTCTCTTATACAAGGGCCAAAAATCTAGATATTTACACTTTATTAAAAACTGTATTAGTCAACAACTTGCATTTATATAGCACCCCTCACACAGGGTAGCGTCCCAGAGCGCTTATGGCATAGTCAAACAAGGCATGCTCTTTAGAAACACATGCTGACCCTCATTGCTGCACTGGACTAGGCTATGCTCAGCCTTCACTATGAGTTCACAATCCCAACATGGATCTTGAATCCAAACCTTCTGAATCAGTAAAAGTGCTTCCAACTGAGGTAGACTGAAAACTCATGATTCTTTTGTCTTTCTGCATCTTTAGCAATCTCCAGATCATTGGCAAGTCTTGATCTCTACTAAAGTCCATATGTTCATTTGGTTTCACTCCTTCCCTTGATCTTTTTATTTATGAATCCGAAGCCAAATAAATTTATTCTGGGGAACAGATTTTACAGGTTATACAAACGAAGGAGTGTGAAGATGTAAACATTTTGTTATCTAGATGTAAACATTTGGTTCGTCAGTCTTCAGGAGGGTAAGTTGAAAACATTACGCTCAATTTATTTCACCCTCACTCGTTTACAAAACTCATTTTTTCCTGAATGCGGGAACCTGTCCTATATTTTCTAGACCTGACCTGTGAAACAGTGTTGGGTCACGATCCTTATGGGAATTAAAATTACAGATATTAACATTTGACCCAAACGCTCAAGTACAAATGGTTAACAAACTAAAATAAACCAACAAAAAAGATACAAATAGAATGAGGCAAGCGGCAAATGTCAACTTCTACTTGTGGCCGAACGTCTACCAGGATGTGAGGGACCACTTGATCCAAAAGTTGTTTATATTCCTGAAGTAATGAAAGGAAAAGTAAGTCACTAATAGCCTATTTTCTGCTGAGCATTAGGATACGTTATAAAGATACTGTCTAATACAGACTGTAGGAAGTAGTAGACTCTAAATATTGGTGTTGCTGAACATTTGCTTTTCTGAACTAACTGCAGGTTAAATCCTTCCTCCAAAGGTTTGTAATCAGTACAACTAGATTGGCATTAAATAATTTAGATTTGAAATATCTGTAATGTTGATTATATTAACATTCCAATGACACCATCAAGAAAGCCTGCAGTCAGCTTGATAAAGCTGTAAACTACTGAAATCATGCAATGGTAGTTTTTATGCCTAACTCTCTTGATAAAGGGAGATCACAATATCATTCTTATCAGGAAAGGCAGCATTTTCTTATGGAATGTTGGTTATCCTATGTGTTCTCAAGCATTCATTGGAAATGAAGCAAGTGTTACATACTGCAGATAATTTGCATGAAACAACATTCGATAAACAATTAATTTGAAATGGGGTGGCATATTTGGATGGGGGGATTATAAACGAGGATGATGTGCTATTTCACATTTATTTGAAATAACAATGAATTAAATTACTAACTACATTGGAGGAACTATTGTTAAAATAATAACATGCATTTTTATTGCACCCTTTACACAGGGTAACGTCTCAGAGAACTTGTGAAAGATATATGGTATTCTGGTTTGGAGTTGCTTGGCTCAGTTTCACGAACACCATTCTCCAATACTACACTTGAAGACACTTAGTGAAAGTTAGCACTGTAGCAGACTTCTGATCTGTTGTTCTAAATGTATTGGGTTTTTTTTCAAAAAAAACTTCATTAAGTAAATTATTTTCTCTACCCATTTCCCCCAAATAGATGTGTGAGGCTGGTGACTCATTTCCAAGTCCTTAATCAATACGACTATTGAACAGAGGATGCTTAGGTGATATACCAGACTGGCCTGGAATGATCCACCCTCTAATTCTTCCCACCTTCAAACTAGCACTTCAGCTTAAGTGAATCTACTACTGTATACAGAAACCTCAGCAAATTTGAGCCTTCATTCTGAGGCAATTCAAATTTATTTAACCATTATACTTTTAGAGATAAATATGACTACAATCTGTAATGCACCTACTAAATAAAACTGCAATACATCTTTGTTATGGAAATAAAATTAAACTTACCTCAACAGTTACTCTTTGTTCTTTTGGTAGTAATTTAAGTGTCCTGCACTGAAATTCCAAAAGGCAAACAGGAGTTATAAAAAACATTACTAAACACATTATATGAGGCCTTCAGTTAAATGATGCAGCAATGTTACCATTTCATCGATTATAGTTTCTTCAAATGTCAGAGGTTCAGTCCCAAACTTGCCAGGGAGGGAGGTTGTTAAAGGTGCAACTGTATTTCGTGTTCTTGTGATAATGATCACATCATATCAAGCTTTCTTGAAAATTGCCTCTCTTCTGTTACATTTTCTGACCATCTTCAGAAAATGTATTATGTATGATTCCCAGCAGGGCAAAACCTTGGGCAAGATTCCTTACTCCACACGCCTGATAATAATCCCTCAAGAAATAAAAAAAAGCAATAAAATTGGTCGCTTCAATCCACGACTGTTTGTGGGACATTGCTGTGCGCATTGGCTGCCGCGTTTCGCCCACAAATATAGTCAAATCATTTTACAGTATATTCTGTGAAGCGTTTTGAGACATAAGAACAGCACTATATCAAATGTAAGGATTATTATTATTATTTTTCTTGGCCTAGTCTATAGTAGGCCAAGAAAGATGGTCAGAATATGTAACAGGAGAGGAAATTTTCGTGAGAGCTTAATTCTATGTACTATTTCTTCACTTTTCTACTCAGTCTATATTAATGGGAATGGTCCCTGAATTAAATGTGAGTGAAAACTAAAATGTTTCCATTGAGATTTCCACAAGAAACTATCAATGTTTTTTTATTTGGTCAGCCAGATGCCTGACATAATGCAGAAACCCATCACCATGCTTAAAAGTATCCAAACCAGATAGTTTGATGCATGTCACCTCCACCATGGACATTTCTATGTCTAGAATGGAATGCTCACTCTCCACCCGGAGGGACAAATCCTGTTTACCCAATTCTAGAGAATATTAGGCGCCGATTGGCAAGAGCTAAGGCAACAGGACCCCAGGGTTTGTTGGGGTAGTGCTGTAGTTTCACCAGCTTGTGTTGTAAGTGTATGTAAAATGGTTCAATGTAGTAAATGGCCGATAAAGTATTGTTTACATGTTGCTCAAAAATACACATTTACAGCTGGAGCCATTTAATGCATACTTATTCTCAGTGCACTGACCTTATCAGTTGCTGCTGAACCACAAAATCTCTCGTAGTTAATCAATTCTTTTATTGTGGGATTGTTACTGCACACTGCACAGGCTGGCTGTTTAGGTCGAAGTTTAATATTGCGGAATCGAGCTTCTAAAGCATCAAACACTAACATCTGTTGGCTGTAAGATGCTGAAGGATTACAGTGAAGGAACCTTCTGGGAAAACATAGTTCTGCCTCAGGAAACATGTTCAGACACAGGATTATACCCACAATTTAAACATATCGTTATTGCTGGGCAATGGTTTCTGTCAAACAAACACGAAGATAAAAATACATAACAAACATGGTCCAAGCATAACTCACTAACATTACCTAGAATAAAAATGTGGTCTGAAACTACTTTAATTTAAAATGGAATGTCACTTAATAAATATACCATAGAACATTTCTAAATTAGCTTTTTGACCACTGGTAACCGAAGGGAATTTTCAGTGCTTTTATCAGCTTTCAGCTCGGATGCAATAACGCTGAGACAAATACTGTTGGAACAATAAAAATATTCTAACGTTACAAAAGGCTTTAATGATTATATTAACCTCATTAATATTAATACTCATTAAGGTTAAACAAACATGAAACACATTGCACTGCTGTTTGTTCTCTCTCCTATTCCCCATCCTGCCTTTTCTTGTACTTGGAGTCCTGTAGCTCAGTGGTTAGACCACTCGCTTTGCAAGTGAGAGACCTGAGTTCAATTCCAGGCAGAGGGCGAAACCTTGGGCAAGTTTCCTTACTCCACACAGAGCCTAATAATAATCCCTCCAAAAACAATAATAAATTGGTCATTTTCAAACTACGACTGTTTGTGGGACATTGCTGTGCGCAATTGGCTGCCGCGTTCGCCCACAAATATAGTCAATTCACTTTACAGTGTGTTCTGTGAAGTGCTTTGGGACGTCCTCCTGACGTGAAAAGCGCTATATCAAATGCAAGGATTATTATTATTATTATTACTTGCACTTTACATTCAAAAATAACTCAATTTCTTTATTTGATGCCTTGTTCTCGTTTACAAAATCGCCAGGACAATTCAGTTATATTTCTTTCTGTGTTACATCCTATAGTCTATTTTGGAGACAAATGTCACATCCACAAATATGGTTGGCTAAAAATGGTCTGTAAAGGCCATATTTTCACAATCATTCATGACTATTGACTAATCAGATGGCGCATTTTTAGGTTACCAAGTAGGTGTTTACCAAGACAGAACTGGCTTTCAATAGGGTCAGGCAGCTCCAGATCAGCTCCCAGACCAGTGAGAAGCACTCCTTTCCAAAATGAATCAAATCATTCCGGTTGCTCATAGCTCCTTTCCAGCATTGTTACTGTCTTGGCCTAATAGAAGAGACTTGAACCGCTAAGGCTCTTCTCATCAGGCTGCCCCTGAAGATTTTTTTTCAATGTTAAATAAGGATGTTACCATAGCCTTTTAATAATCTTTGCATTTGATAGAGCACCTTATCACGTTTTCAAGACGTCTCAAAGTGCTTCACAGGATATACTGTGAAGTGAACTGACTATATCCTTTGATTGGCGAAACTCGGCAGCCAGTTTGCACACAGCATTGTCCCACAAATAGCCATGGAGTGACCAATTTTATTTGGAGGATTTGCTGGCGAGGACACCAGAAGAAATGCCTTTCCTTTTCAAATAGTCTTTTCCAATGTACACTAACAGGAATTATTCTCCCTAGGCTGTCCTTCCCCTTTATGGTGATCAACCGTTGTAATAATACAAAACTACACAAAACGCTGAGAAGAGCCACATGATGGCAGTGTTCTCCTGAAATAATTCTAGTTGGTACTATGATTGCTATTCTTAGCACAATTTGCTTTGAGAATGCTAAATCTTGAAAACTGTAAAAGTAACCAGTACTTCATCCTATTTCAGGTGCCAAGTGGGTATTAAGCGTTGATATAGGCACGATATAAATGTAAAGTTGTATTGTATTGCTTCGAATCCACTGGAAACATCTACAGGAAAATACTTTGTAGTTATCTCAATGTTTCTAAAAGATTTAATTAATTGAGGCGTATATCCTGAAAAGAAAATTATGAACACACATATGCAAATGGCAAGGAAATAAAAAGATACATCCTATTCCAGAAGCAATCTTCAGCACCTCCAAAGCCTGAATGCATCCCATAATTCCTGGTACTGGAACATATAAAAATATATTAAAATCATTGTTCTTAACACAAACTTGATTGTCTCAAACACTATTTACAAATTCTGGACTATGGCTTTTTGACTAAAATAAGCGTACAAGTGATACCCAAAATAAAGGAAGAAATATATGAATCCGTGCACATTCCCAAGTATCCAGTTAGAAAATAGCACAGGCTGGGAGCATGTTCTCATTTGTAGTTTCAGTAAGCAAGAAAATGGAACAGTGAGGGAGAACCGGAACCTACAGGACTGAACAAAATACGCCATAGATATTATAACATGCTTTGTCACTTCTGAATGAGAAGCGATTAAATTAGATTACTTGTACCTGTTGCTGCCATGTTAAATCCTGATGTGTTTAAAAGGAGCTAGCAAGCCATTGTGCAAGGCTGAGAACAGAATAAATAAACCTACTTCTGACCACAGGAAGCTTTTACAGATTGAGACATTGCAACGTTTGCATCCTGCTGGTCAAGATTATTTTTACATCTTTAGAATTGCAGCCTATGTTTGTATAATGCAACAACAGCAAAGGAATTAAGTTTGACTCTTTTTACCATTAGCCTTTTCAATGAACCATCCATCAGCAGGAATAAAAACGTTCATATCATACTTTTATCAAATTGTGTTTTAAGACTTGAATTTCAGATCAATGACAACTATACAGAATACACATAATGAAAGTCAACAGTAACAACTTGCATTTATGTAGCATTCTTCACATAGGATAGTGTCTTTGAAAAGTTATGGAATGAAGACTTACCAACACCCAGTACTCCTCCATCTGCACAGTTAGTTACAGTTTCAGCTGGAGGTGGTTTTGGGTAGAGACATCTATAGCATGGACCACCATTGTAATTATATACCGTGAGCTGAAATAGTTAAATCATACACAAATGTATACTTAGCTAATAGACAAATATCCAAAATCTGGAAAAAAAACAGTAGTACAGTAAACCCCCAGCTTAGCGTACTCCAGGTATCCGGAATTCATACCTAACCGGACCGAGCCCGAAACAGGAAACATTTTTAAAAAATTCTGGGGCCGCTCCCACCAGGTCACTTTCCTAGCACGCACCCCTACCTAACCATGATTGCTGGCTTTTGTGGCCAGGGATAATCACTTTGACTCAGTTTGAATGCTGTGGCTCTACTTTCTGTTCACGGATTTTAAACAATTACAATGCAAAGTGCTTCACACGATATACTGTAAACTAGTTTGACTTAAGTTTTGTTGGCAATACACGACATAGCATTTACAAATTATTTCTCTCTCCTTTAATTACTCACCAAAGTATTTGCTGCTAAAAAATAAAATAATACTAATAATTCTTGCATTTTATACAGCGTATCTTATTTTATGAACCCAACAAATGTGTTAAAACTGGGCGTGTATTATTTATTTTACTAAATATCTTGAGTTTTATTTTATTTTCATTACCTGTCCTTCAAACCTCAGAGCACTAGCTGAAACCAGCGGCTTCCCACTCAGTACACAAGTGTCATTGACAAGAAAACGGGTGGGTACGTTGTCAGAACAATCTACTATAATGTCATATATAGAGAAAAAGAGTTAAGAAACATGTTGGCTTTTAACAAAAATATGGATCTACCACACAAAATAATACAGAAAAAGGATACTGTTGAATAAGCTGAATTGCATTCTTGTAATTCAATTGAAAGTGGTAAGGTATGCATTCAACCTTTGAATTCAACCTGTAGAACAGAAAAGATAGTGTAAAATAAATTAAAGCTATGACATTTTATAACTTGCTTTTTATCTTCTAATCTTTCAATATTAATAATGCTATCTATGCCTATAACAATAATTGTATAAAGGGTAAAGTGTTGCTGCACAACTCTCAGTGCCTGGCACTGAACCTTGGAGTAGTTTCACTCATTCAATTCCAGAATTTCTGATTTCAGACGCGAGGTCATTGAAAGTTGATTAAGCATAGACTTAATACTTTCCCACATGATCAGGTAAGACACAACAGTCTTTCAAATGTTGTGAAGAACATGTTATGTTCACAGCAGCAAAGACCTGGGAGCAAGTTTGCCCTCACAGCCAAGACACAATCTTGAGATTGGAAAACAAAAGAGAAGTTGGAAACTGAAAATTAAAGAATGCAGTAGATTAGTACATTGTACTTCAATTTCTAGGGCATGGAATTGAATGCAGCGTAAACCTTCCACTTCCAATGACAACCTGAGCAATTCTAGTGTACCAGTTACACAAGCAGCCCTCTGGCCAGCAGGCATTTTCTAGGGTTTTAAATTTGTCCCATAATTTGAAGCACTGGCTTCCATTAAAATTAACAACTTTCAGGGTCTGGCATTGCACCTTGGAGTAGTTTCACTCATTCAATTCCAGAATTTGAATAAATCACATCATCACAGGAGTTCAGAACCAAATAGAAATCCCAAATTGCTGGTCAACATGTGGGAAAAAATTACACAACTAGAAGAAACATAAAAAGGTACAAAATTCCGTACTTTTTCTTTATTGAAAAGGAATTGGAGTACAATATTGACCTTTACAATAATAATCTTTGCATTTGATATAGCAACTTATCACATTATTTAGACGTCTCAAAAAGCTTCAAAGGATGTATTGCATTCTGAGATGCGATCTATGTGAAGAGCGCTATCTAAACACAAGTAGTTGTTGATGTTATTGTACTATAGAGTGATTGTGTGCATTTTGTGGGTAAACATAATAATAATCCATGCATTTGATATAGCGCCTTATCACGTCGTTCAGACATCTCAAAGCGTTTCATAGAATATACTGCAGTGAATTTTACATGGTATTAAAATAATGTGTTTTTCTTTCTTACTTTCTTTTTCTCTTTCTTAACATGGCAACCAATATACGCACAGTAATGTCCCACAGACACCCATGGTGACCATTTGATTTGGGGGGATTGTTGGTCAGGACACCGGGGAAAATTCTATTCTCTTTTCAAATGATGCCATGAGGTATTTAACATTCATCTTGACAGGCAACTAGACCTCTGTTTAATGTCTCTTTCAAAGGACACACACTCGGCACAGCACTGCAGTGCCATTTAGGTTCCAAGTCACAAGGTGCAACTTGAAAACACAGAAGCAACAGTGCTACCAAGTGAACCAGGCTGACCCAAACAATACAATATAATTTACATTATATGGTGCCACGTTGGGAGGACGCCTCAAAGCGCTTTAAACTGTTGGCTGCGTACCCAAGCTGGAGTTGGGAGACAAAGGAGGTGGGAGGGTAAAGGTGACTGAATGCACAGTCAAAGAGGGATTTCTTGACTTTTGTATAGAAGACATTCCTCCAAGACTTTTAATCTCCTTTAAAGGACAGTGTGATATTGAACAATTTTGTCATTACAGAACCAAGCTGGGGAGGATTCTTAATAATGGTTTCCCACTTCACAGTTGTATTTGCAGTCCTGTAGCCTTGTGGTTTGAGCACTCGCTTCGCAAGCGAGAGACCTGGGTTTGATTCCCAGCAGGGCGAAACCTTGGGCAAGTTTCCTTACTCCACACGCCTGATAATAGTCCCTCAAGAAAAAAATAAATATAATAAATTGGTCACTTCAATCCACGACCGTTTGTGGGACACTGCTGTGCGCAATCGGCTGCCGCGTTTCACCCACAAATATACAGTCAATTCACTTTACAGTATATTCTATGAAGCGCTTTGAGAATTCTTGAAGACATGAATAGCACTATATCAACTGCAAGGATTATTATTATTATATTATTGTTATTTATGTGCCTGAGTGAAACTAACTTTTCCACTGAGTAGGAGAATATCATTAATTAAATGTTGCTTTTCCAGTATCAGTACATCTCACTAATCAAGGCACCCTTTTAGATTGTTTTTCTCCTGTAATATTGACTGTACACAAGTTTCACTAAAGCAGGCAATTCTGCAGTCATGGTTCTAGGATGAGAGGGGCTGGCACGCCGGGGAGAGATAAAGGATGGCATACTTACCGATTTATTGTGACTGCTGCAGATAATGCTTTCTGCACACCCACTCTATCTTCTCCATGGAGGACCTGCCTCTGTAGGTTACTAAGCTCAACTTCATCCCAATCAAGTAAGCCCAATCGACCTGCAATGATATTGACACATTGAAACACATTACCAAAAAATGTACTGCATACATTTCCCACATACCTTCATAGTTCACTTTATGTCAACATGCTGCTCTACAAGTTTTGGATGTAGCAGACCCAATAGTAGAAAAGATACTTAATATTTTGCCAATTAAAACTAGATCAGAGGCACAAGAATGTAAATCTAGAAAAGATATAAATGCAGGATGTCTCAATGCCAAATTCCAAAATGTACTGAAGAAGGTTACTGCAAGATGTTGTTAGGTTGAAACATTCTTGGACTTCTTGGATATGAATTCAAACCCAATCTAGTTATTCGTACAAAATGTCCAGAACCTAAAAACAAATTAAATATCATGGCTCATGAAGGTCAAAGGACTGGTGTGGAAAATAAGAAAATATGGAAATGGAATACAAGGGAAATAAACATTAGGAGGAGTCGCAAAGCATTTCATATAGCTGGCTGCGTACCCAAGATGGGAGGCGGGGAGGGGAAAGGGTGCTGAGGAAGGGGGAAAAGACGACCAAAAGTAGTCATAAATAAGTTGTAAGATGGTTTCGAAGGTGGGAGGCAGCGGCGGGGTGGAGGAACTCTAGAATGGAGTTCCAGAGAGCAAGGGCAGAATGGCTGAAAGCTCTCCCACTAATGGTGGAGTGGATCAGGCTGGGGACACAAAGCAGACAATGTTTGCTGAGGGATTTAGAGGGATTTGAATTCAAGGTTAAGGATCTCAAATTTAGTCCAATGGGGAATGAGGAGCCAAGCGGCGAAGGCAACGGAAAATGACACAAGCCTGGGACTGAAGAGGACACTGGCTACAGAGTTCTGGATGGTTTGAAGCTTGTGTAGGAAGAAGCTGGGAAGTCCGGTGACTAGGACATTGGAATAATCAAGCCTGAACATGATGAAGACATGAATGCGGGTCTCAGCAGCCCCAGGGAAGATGGAGTGGCAGAGATAGACAATGCGGTAGAGATGAGGGAAAGCTGAGCAAGTATGACACAGGATGCGACACATTTGGGTGTCAAACAAGACACCAAGATCCTGCACCGACCGTGTGTGATGGAATGAGAATCCGCGCAGGACGATGTGGGCAGAGCCTGAGCTGATGGGAACCAAGAAGAGCCTCAGTATTGTTTAATGACGAAAGTTAAAGCTCATCCGGGATTTAATGCCTGTCAGGTAATTGGACAGAACAGCCTGCAGTAGCTAAATATCTTACCAATGCCTGCAGCAGCTAAGTACTGTGCAGCTGGACAACCTAGCCCTCCACATCCCACTATCAAAACAGCTTTCTTGGACAGGTTGAGTTGACCTAGAAACATAAAAAAATAAAAATAATCAGTTTGAAAAACTAAATCTTAAACACTGAAAAACACTTCAAATCACAGAACAGATAGAGAGGTGTGTACCTAGCATTGGTAAGGTAAACACACTATTCTTATACTAAGACGATGGCGCCAGTAAAATTCACAAATTTTAAGTGCACACAGAAATAAAAGTCCTTCCTTAAAAAGAACACAATCTGTACTTTAAAAAAAAAGGTTGTTCCTATCGGATATCAATCGATAAAAAGAACTCATTAAATGTTACCTCATCATTTGTATTCTAAGATTGTTAGTATTTTATATTTAAAGTGCACCATATTGTAGAAAGAAATTACAGTAATGTATATCATACAGATGAGGAATAACATAAATCAGAGGGGATCCACCTTTTGGCTACTGAGGGCTGGATTCCCTATTCGAGAAATGTCCGCAGGCCGTATAAGCAATATTTTTGCGTTTCCTTTCCAGAATCATAACATTTACACAGCACCTTTTTCATATCGGAAGCACGTCTCGAAGCGTTCAACACTGCCAGCTGGGTAACTGAGCTGGGGATGGGAGCTGAAGGAGGTGGGATAGAGAGGGAAAAATGTGACCAAAAGCGTGGTCAAAGAGTTAGGTCTTGATGTGCCTTGAAAGAGGGAAGGGAGAGAGCACGTCAGAGGGACTATGGGAATTGAGCTTCACAGAACAGGGGTAAAATGGTGATGTTAGGGCAGGTGGGATGAGGAGACCTGAAGCAAGCCGGTGTTTGCTGGGCCAAGGGAACTTCATAATGAAATATTTAATCTTACAATTTAAATGTATTCTAAAACTGTAGTACCTTTGACTCCTAGTTCTGGAAGGACAAGCTGCCTGCTGTATCTCATTATTTCTTCTTGAGAGAGAGATGATTTTTCTCTCAACGAAGCAACCTTCGTTACTTGTGTAGCTAAAGACATGTTTCTGGGTTCAGCAAAGGTACAACACGATTTCTGAAAAGCAATCAAATTTTTACCAAGCAGCAATAGGAAAACAAGTCCACGAGCCCTGGCACCTGAGCTCAGCAGTCTTAATACCTACAACACAAACTACATTTCAACACAATTAAAATGATGGAAACATTTCTAAGTGCATCTATCAGTTAGTGATACACTGAAGTATCCCGGCCCCCAGACAAAATTGTTCATGGCTGCTTGTGGGACATTTCCATGCACAAATTAGCTGCAAAACTACAAAACTAGTCACTGCACGTTACAGTAAATCACGTGAAGCACTTTGAGAAGTTCTCCTGGCATTAAAAGCACTATATCAAATGCAAGATTATTATTTTGATATAGGTACCCTTAAAAAGCATTCCAGAGAATAAAAAGATGCAAAAGACTTTAATCTTTAAAAAGGATGCTGATCAACGCTCAATTCTAAGTATTTCTTCTTTAAAAGAAGTATTCTTCCAAGTGCTGTGTTGTTTCATTAAACAGGTCTTTTGGCATACAAATATTCCCAAGGTCAGCCTCAGAGTACTGATAATAAAGCAAGGATTCTCTGGTGCCCACTGACCTACAATCAGATCAGGAGGCAGGATATTCTATTATCAAAATATTCTCCTATCCATTTAGGCAATTTGTTTAATTTCATACATTTTCAAATTTATGCCCTTTTTCGTTTTTTTTTAATTTCTAAGAAAAGGCCTGGAAGCTGTGTTTAAGCACTCCAGAGAAAGAACATCCCTATGGAATCTTCCTAACAAGACATAATAGTGGGGTCTGTTATGTCAATTGATTAAATCACATATAAATGTATTTGTACTGTACTATGCGCATGATTTACACAACTTATAACAACACTTGCATTTGGTGCACCACTTTATCAGATTATTGAGAGGTCTCAAAGCGCTTCACAAGATGTTATTGTGAAGTGTAGTGACAGTGTGCACTCTGCAGGCAAACTCATTCACATCATGGCTGGTTGTGGGCCCTCCGCACACAGCAATGGACCACAAACAGCCATGAAGTCGATGACCAATTTTATCTGGGGGATTGTTGGCTTGGACACCGGGAGAGCCTCCCTAATTGATATAGTAGACCTCAATAAAAATATACCGGCTTCCTTGAATAATGGGATGGGTAAATGCCGACTTCTCAAGTAGAATAGGAGATTAAACCTGCTATTTTTTTTATTTATTAGCTTTTTATTGGCTACTTGCAGTGTAGCTCCGGGACGCTAACCCACACGAAGGGTGCTATATAAATCCAAGTTATTCTTCTTATTTTGAAAAAGGGAAGCAGATAGTACTGCCAATCCATATTATACCTTAAATCAGCACACTGTCAAGACACCACTCCTAATATTCTCCAAAATTAGGTAAACAGGAATCAGCCCTCCAGGTAAGGGTCCGCATTCCATTCAACAACACCAACTTGTACTTATATAGCGCCTCCACGCAGGGTAGAGTCTCAGAGACAATCCTGGCAAAAAGCACGGTTTGGCAGCTTTTCTCAAGGGAATGCAGCCTAATTACTGATCTCAACTGGTTCTGTAGAGAAATTCAAGGTCAAGTAAAACATATCAAACTCTTGTATCCATTGTTGGAGCCTGAGAAGCTCTGGGCGTAGTGAGAGCACTCTCAGCTCGGAGTCACTTGTGGGTTCAAGCCCCATGTCAGGATTTTGATCTCACACAGTGAGATCTCTCAAATGATCTCTCAAGTGCGGTGCTGGAAGTCATCGTGACTTGTACTGTATTTTGTGTATTTATATACAGTGTGCATATATGTATTGACTCCCGATATATGCATCCATATGACATCTTACATGTAGAATGTGCATTTCTGTGTGTAATAATGTGATTGTATGTGTGTATACAGTGTGTAGTAATGTAAATATATATTGCATGTGTGTATACTGTGTAGTTATGTAAATGTACACGGTGTATGTATATATTTTGTGTAGTAATGTAAAGCGATATTGTGTGTGTATACTGTGTACTAATGTAAATGTATATTGTGTATATACTATGTGTAATAATGTAAATGTACATTGTACGTATATTGTGCATTGATATGAAGGTGTATACATAATGTGTCTAACTGTATACACAGTATGTACTAATGTAAATGGGAATTGTGTGTGTATATACTGTGTGCAGTAATGTAAATGTGTATATATACTCTGTAACTGTATATACTGTGTGTAAACATGTACATATACTGTGTGCAAACTCTCTGCTTGTCAGCCTCCCCAACTCCTCCCTCCATAGGCTGCCGATCATCCAGAACTCTGCAACCGGTGTCCATTCCCACACTAGGCTCTGTGACCCTATCACCCGCCATACTCACCCAACTCCACTGGTTCCCATCACACCGAGGATACAGTTCAAGATCCTGGTCTTCACCTTCAAAGCCCTCCATGGCCTCACTCCGCCCTACCTCTGCCACCAGCTAACCCCTACAAAACCTGTCCGCTGCCTCCGCTCAGCAGGCTCCGCATTGCTTCATGTCCCCCAGCTCGCCTGCCATTGGTGATGCAGAGTTGTATATACACTGTGTGTAGTGATGGAGAGGTGTATACACACCGTGTCTAGTGATGGAGGTGTATACACACCGTGTGTAGTGATGGAGAGGTGTATACACTGTGTGTCGTGATGGAGAGGGGTATACACTGTGTGTAGTGATGGAGAGGTATATACACTGTGTGTAGTGATGGAGAGGGGTATACACTGTGTGTAGTGATGGAGAGGGGTATACACTGTATGTAGTGATGGAGAGGGGTATATGCACTGTGTGTAGTGATGGAGAGGGGTATACGCTGTGTGTAGTGATGGAGAGGGGTATATGCACTGTGTGTAGTGATGGAGAGGGGTATACACTGTGTGTAGTGATGGAGAGGTATATACACTGTGTGTAGTGATGGAGAGGGGTATATACTGTGTGTAGTGATGGAGAGAGGTATATGCACTGTGTGTAGTGATGGAGAGGGGTATATGCACTGTGTGTAGTGATGGAGAGGGGTATATACTGTGTGTAGTGATGGAGAGGGGTATATACTGTGTGTAGTGATGGAGAGGGGTATACACTGTGTGTAGTGATGGAGAGGGGTATACACTGTGTGTAGTGATGGAGAGGGGTATATACTGTGTGTAGTGATGGAGAGAGGTATATGCACTGTGTGTAGTGATGGAGAGGGGTATATGCACTGTGTGTAGTGATGGAGAGGGGTATATACTGTGTGTAGTGATGGAGAGGGGTATACACTGTGTGTAGTGATGGAGAGGGGTATACACTGTGTGTAGTGATGGAGAGGGGTATACACTGTGTGTAGTGATGGAGAGGGGTATACACTGTGTGTAGTGATGGAGAGGGGTATATACTGTGTGTAGTGATGGAGAGGGGTATACACTGTGTGTAGTGATGGAGAGGGGTATACACTGTGTGTAGTGATGGAGAGGGGTATACGCTGTGTGTAGTGATGGAGAGGGGTATACGTTGTGTGTAGTGATGGAGAGAGGTATATACACTGTGTGTAGTGATGGAGAGGTGTATACACTGTGTGTAGTGATGGAGAGGGGTATACACTGTGTGTAGTGATGGAGAGAGGTATATACACTGTGTGTAGTGATGGAGAGGGGTATACACTGTGTGTAGTGATGGAGAGGGGTATACACTGTGTGTAGTGATGGAGAGGGGTATACACTGTGTGTAGTGATGGAGAGGGGTATACACTGTGTGTAGTGATGGAGAGGGGTATATACACTGTGTGTAGTGATGGAGAGGGGTATACACTGTGTGTAGTGATGGAGAGGGGTATACACTGTGTGTAGTGATGGAGAGGGGTATACACTGTGTGTAGTGATGGAGAGGGGTATACACTGTGTGTAGTGATGGAGAGGGGTATACACTGTGTGTAGTGATGGAGAGGGTATATACACTGTGTGTAGTGATGGAGAGGGGTATACACTGTGTGTAGTGATGGAGAGGGGTATACACTGTGTGTAGTGATGGAGAGGGGTATACACTGTGTGTAGTGATGGAGAGGGGTATACGCTGTGTGTAGTGATGGAGAGGGGTATACACTGTGTGTAGTGATGGAGAGGGGTATACACTGTGTGTAGTGATGGAGAGGTATATACACTGTGTGTAGTGATGGAGAGGGGTATACACTGTGTGTAGTGATGGAGAGGGGTATACGTTGTGTGTAGTGATGGAGAGAGGTATATATACTGTGTGTAGTGATGGAGAGGGGTATACACTGTGTGTAGTGATGGAGAGGGGTATACACTGTGTGTAGTGATGGAGAGGGGTATACGCTGTGTGTAGTGATGGAGAGGGGTATACACTGTGTGTAGTGATGGAGAGGGGTATACACTGTGTGTAGTGATGGAGAGGGTATACACTGTGTGTAGTGATGGAGAGGGGTATATACTGTGTGTAGTGATGGAGAGGGGTATACACTGTGTGTAGTGATGGAGAGAGGTATATACACTGTGTGTAGTGATGGAGAGGGGTATATGTGGGGGGCGGGGCCCGGTACCTGCTGCAGCTGCTCCATCGCGGCTCTGAGCCCCGCCACCTCCGCCTCCTTGTCGCGCAGCTCCTGCCGCAGCCTTGCCATCTCCCTCTGACTCTCCGCCGCCTCCATAACCCCTTCAAACCGCCAACCGACACTCCACGTGCCCCGAGCACGGCCGCAGGACACGACAGGAAGTGACATCAGCAGACGGCTGTCTGTCTGACGGTGTGACCTGACGTCGCCACTGGCGGAAGCTCCTTTACTAAAATGGCCGCCACATTATTGCCCCTTTAGTAAGATGGCTGCCACACTGCTTCCTTTGCTAAGATGGCCGCCGCACTGCTTCTCTTTTGTTTTGGTCAGCCTGGTACCAGTTATTTGCCAGTTGTCACACCAAGCCTTCAGACCCACTGTTGTAGATATACAAAGCCAACAGAGTGGGTCAGACATAGGAACAAGTGAACCTAATTAATTGCATGAGGCCCAATTGAAATATTAATATTTTAAGCATGGGGCGTGTGCCTGAGCTGCAGACAGGAAGATGGTCGCAATGCTCTCGTGTATTGCCAGGAAGCTTGCAGAGAGTTTATGGTACCAACCATCTACCCAGGGATGGCTCAAACCTATGCTTATCCCTATCTCTGCAATCTCGTCCAGCCATATTCTGTTCATGTCCTTTGACTGTGGTCCACTACAAGTTTCTCAGTGCTCTGACCAACTATTGGTTGCTGAGCCTTCAACCACTATACCCCTACTCTGGAACTCTTCCCAAAATCCTTTCACTGTCCACTTTCTATTCCTACATTCAAAACCCTCTTAAAACCTCCATCTCTTTTACCATGCCTTTGGTTCAATATCTTCCTCTCCTTCATTTTCAGAGGTCACTGTTGTTGTGAAGTGCTTTGAGACGTTTACCCTACATGAAGACTTTAGAGCACTCGCTTTGCAAGTGAGAGACCCGAGTTCAATTCCAGGCAGGGCGAAACCTTGGGCAAGTTTCCTTACTCCACACGCCTAATAATAATCCCTCCAAAAAAAAAAAATAATTAAATTGGTCATTTTCAATCTACGACTGTTTGTGGGACATTGCTGTGCGCAATTGGCTGCCGCTTTCGCCCACAAATATACAGTCAATTCACTTTACAGTGTGTTCTGTGAAGCGCTTTGGGACGTCCTCCCGACGTGAAAAGCGCTATATCAAATGCAAGGATTATTATTATATATATTATATTTATAAGGATAAGTTCCAGTTGATTTCCATCCATCTGTGCAGAACAATGCCAAAGAATAAGAAGCCACTTGGGCAGGTGAGCTTCTTAAAGGTGGCAGCCACTGCAGTTTAAATAGACATTCCTGAGCAGATTGTTGAAGTATTCGAGCAGCAGTCAATGATGTTTTGGATCGTGGATTTGCAATGCTACTTTAAAGGGTAGGAAATAATTATCTTGGCATTATGCAAGGATTATTATTATTATTTGATATAACACCTTTTTACATCATTGAAACATCTCAAAGTGTTTCATAGGAAATATTGTAAAGCTCAGTGATTGTGTATTATGTAGGCAAATGTAGCAATCATTTTGCATGCAACAATGTCCCACAAACAGCAAATGTCAATGACCAATTTTATTTGGAAGATTAGTTGGCCACAATACTAGAGAAATTTATTGTCCATGGGATCTAAATCCATCCATAAAGGAGGTCCAGGCAGAAAGGACCTCCTTTTAACATCTCCCCTGAAGGATGGCATCTCAAACAATCCAGTACCATACTGGGATGTCAGCTAGACTATGAGGTTATGGGGTTTGCTTAGCAGCAATCTAACATAATAATAATAATAATAATCCTTGCATTTGATATAGCGCTTTTCACGTCAGGAGGACGTCCCAAAGCGCTTCACAGAACACACTGTAAAGTGAATTGACTGTATATTTGTGGGCGAACGCGGCAGCCAATTGCGCACAACAATGTCCCACAAACAGTCGTAGATTGAAAATGACCAATTTAATTATTGTTTTTGGTTTTTTGGAGGGATTATTATTAGGCTCTGTGTGTAGTAAGGAAACTTGCCCAAGGTTTCGCCCTGTGCCTGGAAATGAACTCAGGTCTCTCACTTGCAAAGCGAGTGCTCTAACCACTGAGCTACAGGACTCCACAAACATGGCAGCTCAAAACATTTTCAGCCGTGATTGGTCAATACTATTATCAAAAAATTAGGAGGGGAATATTTCAAAACACTTTTTAATTAAGGAACAGCATTTTGATTTCTACATTTCAAACTTGCATCCTTCTGATTGGTGTGCCTTATTGCTGCATTATGTGGTGCCTTTACATGTCAAGCCATCAGAAAACCTAAATGGAAGATATCCGTTTAAGATGAAAAGCAAGTCATCACATTTATATTTAAGAGATGATTAATAACATGCAATCTGCAATCTATTTTCCTAAAAAATTTTTATCTGTTGAGTAGTCCATCGCCAGGCTCATTTTTTGCATTAGCTTTCACCTAAGGATGAACCTGCCTTCATTGCCCAGTCTGTATTAAAATTTAACCCAATCAGACTGAAGCTTCAGATCCTCAAAGTTGATCATCACAAACAGTTGGATTCCTAATCTTGGAAATATAATAAGGGGAAAGAGGTAAATGGAAATCAGGAATTTTCCAACAGGGAAGATAAAGCGGAGGGTGAATAAACCCAAAATATTCTTGGGGACCACCTAGCGCCTGGCTGCAGGGCTATATTGGCATCACTAAGTGCAGTTTCCACTCTCCTTTTTTTATCTGCTGAACAACATTGTGTGGTCTGGTGGTGGGAAGAAAGAAAAATAGAATTGTTGAAGGCAATGTGGAGCACAGGATATTGAAGCTCCATCATCTTTTGCCACAGTTGTAAGGTATGGGCTTGCTCCCACAATTTGCCATACAAACAGCTACTGCAAGCTGCTGACTGAAGACATTCACAAGGAGTAAAGGAAATTGGAGGTAGGGTTGCTCCTGTCTCCTCTCGTGCAATCTTAGCATCTGGCTTCAGAGCAGCATTGAGAGAGGTCAACGAACAGATCATCTACACACCTCCCCTTGTACCTGGGATGGTGGAACCGTAAGGAGAACTACCTTGGCATGTTGTTTTGTATCTCCATGAAGGTCAACTCAAATTATGTCACAAAAACCTGAGAGTTGTCTCTTGGCTGGACTCTACTGCTCAGGTTCAAACATTGAACTGAAATATAAAATAGAAGGGAAAATTATAATTGTGTGCAATTCATGTCCTAGCACCTCCCTACCTCTCCAACTTGCTTTTACCCCACTCCACTACCCACACCCCCTTTACTCAGTTGGCTCCAGCCATCAACACTCCTTAATCAAATTCCACTCTAAATGCTTTCAGCCGATATGCCTCGAAACTCAAACTTTCTGCCTCAATGCCTTACCTCCTCCGTGCTCACCTTCAGGTCGCATCTGATGACCTTCCTCTTTGACCGTGCCTACAGTCGCCACCCCTCTCCCCTGCTGTTCAGCTCTGCGGGACGCTACCTTGATGAAGGAAGTTATATAAATGCAAGTTATTTAATAAATTTTAAAAACCTCAAAGAATCTTTTCGAGGTAAGATGACAAAAAAACTGAAAGCAAAACAAATATAATTTGGAGAACGCATTCATAAGCAGAACAGGGTTCTAAAAGGGTTAATCAGTGAAATCCTTTGTGTACTAAACGAATTATAAAGTGCACACATGGTTTCTATCACATGACACATGGTTTCTATCACACCATGTAATGGAAACCATGTGTGGATTGTATAATTCATTCAATATACAAAGGTTTTCACACAAAGTAATTTTCTGCAAATGGCTATGGCTGATTATAATTAAGCATGACGGGGACATTTAAAGACAAGGAGCATTTATATCGGGACGCTATCTGTAGCAAACCTGTTTACCAATTTATTTTTATTTGAGAAGGCAAGCAGAGTCAGAACGGCCAAGAATTGTTAATTTTGTCTGAATGATTTCACGTGCAAGTGAGCGGATGATTTGTTTGACCACAATCAATGTCTTTATTCTTAAGTGTTTACTTATGCGGTGATTGCTATTCCATGAAGATGGTGTCCCTTTAATTTGTGGAATTTAGAGAATAAAATACAGTAGAAAGGGACTTAAGACACTCTGATTCTCATCAGTAGTCAACTTTTTGTTTTATTCTTTAGAACATTGCAAATTTCACAAAACATTCACTGCTGTTAGAAGTTGGACTGTGTCAGACCCCAAAATGTCATTTTGATGCAACAAACTATCACAACTCTGGACATGATAGAACAACAATTTATATATACAATATACATTTATATAGCACCTTTCATGTCAGAAGGATGTCTCAAACCAGTTCACATCACTGTCGTGGAGCCTGAACTGAACTGGGGGAGAGGGAACTGAGTGGGGAGGGAAAAGATTGGCAAAAGAGCAGAAGAAGAGGAGATGGGTCTTAAGGTAAGTTTTGATGGCAGGCAGGGAGTCAGGGGATAAATTAGTAGTATTCCAGGTTGCCAAATAGCTTAAGTTTGTCCACCTGATGGTTTCAGAGGTAAGGTGTGGCGAGGGCCAAGGAGGCATTTGAAAGTGAGGCTGAGGATCTTAATTTTCAATCCGTTGGGGGATGGGGAGGTGAGCAGGGATGAGGGTGAAGGGATCACAGAGCCTGGTATAGAAGAGGACTATGTGGGGGGATGGAGAAGTTATTGGAGAAGATTGTGCAGAAACTGAGATATGTAAGAGCAAAATTAGGAAAGGACGGAGCCATGGAGGTTGAGCAGGGAAGAGCGACGGTGGAGAAGGGTAGGCAAACAAACTACAAACCTCTTGAGATAAAGTAAAATGAAGGAAGAATAAAAACAACAAGTCTTGGGTGTGATGTTTCCTAATTCTGGTGGAATAATTGAACTCTCTGACTCTCCAGCCAGCATCTAAAATCTCCCATTCAATCTCTTGTTTCTAAACTAGAACATATAATCCTCCCTAAGGAAGCAATTGGCACACTGATGGAATGTCTGGATTGTGCTCTCAGGAGCATTATTCTACAGAGAAAGTTTGGGTCTGAATCTCAAAAATAGCAAGCAGCAAAGCTTTTGATTCTAGCTTCATCCTCCTTTTCCTGTGCTCTCTGCCACCAGTGATCGATTGGAGGGCAACTACTGCAGCAGCTTCATACACCAATGCAATGATCAGCAGCTCAATGTCTTCTCCAAACATCTGTCTTCTTCCTGGCCCTTCCTGACCATTTCCAAGTCAAACAATACTCCAGTTCAGGCCTACGGTATCCGGCCCCAGAATTTCACAAGTGACTTCAGATTCTCTACAGACTCTACAAGCTGTTCAGTAAAGGTCCTTATCTCCCCTCCAAACCCCTGGCCATCCATGCTCTGAAGGCAGATGTCCCTTGAATAGCTGATAAGGAAATTTTGAGGTTTGAAATGGCAGCTGCTGGAAGGCTTGATACGGAGTCTGAGTTTATGAACACCACATGCTGATATGTCCAGAGCTTGTTATCTACTTGTTAGAGCTTGTGTACAGATAGATAAGTAGCTACTGCTCGAATTCCACATCTCCAACTGGTGAAATTATTGTTCTATGGGTTAGGAAATGGGTCACCGGCAAATGTCATAAAACCCAAATTCACCATCTTCTGAGTACACATTTCAGCTGCCACTCTGTGACCAGAGTCTTTTTCTCTTTTCCGTCTCTCTTCCATCCCCTGCTCTATTTCCACTCTTCTCTTTTGTTCTGTGCCTTTTGATGGCCTCTCTAGCTTCTCCACCCCTCCTCACTACCCCCCTCTTCCCTCACCATCCTCACTGTCTTCAATCTGTCTTCAACAGGCCCTGAACCTTCCTCTGCTCCAGCCTGGAAATCCTCTGCTGCGCACACCGTGGCTCATGTCACCAGTTGACCCAAAGCAGCCAGCCTAGGTGACAATATCCAGGCTCCCCTGTCCCAATACCCAGGCTCCCCTGTCTCCAACATATCAAGATCCTCACCCTCATGTTTAAATCCCTTCACACCCTACCACCTCCCTATCGCTGAGATCTATTCCTACCCTACTCTTCTGCTCCCCCCACCTCCACTTGACAAACCCGGGTCCTCTTTGATGCTTCCTTTCCCCCTCTGTTCCATCTTTGGGAGCTGAGCCTTCACACCCTCTAGAACCTGTTCTATCTACCTCCTGTCCCACTGTCTGCTACCTTCTCTATCTGCCTTTAAATCCTGCCTTAAACCTAGTTCTTCAACCATGTGTATAATCACCTTCCCCTCTTTCTTTGTTTTTCATCTAACACTATCTCTGTGAAGTGATCCAAAACACTATGCTGTAGGAAAGACACTTTACAAATGCAAGTTGTTGCATGAAAGATTTTCGTCTCCCCACCCCCACACGTTTAGTTAATTTCCTTGGACAGTTTGTACTATGTAAACTTTAGTATCAGTTAGCCCAGGGCATAGTACACTAACATACAGTACAGTGTTAGAGCAGGCAATGTAGTTGCTGCTCATCCATGGATCCCAGGGCCATATGTGCTTCACCTCTAAATCTGAGTGAAGTACTCAAGTCATTTCCAGAGGGTGAATCAGAGGATAGATAGGATGGGTGTGCGTCTGAAGCAACCAAACCAAAATCACGCATAAGTGGCAGTGGAGAAGTCTGATTGTACCCCTAACATCCAGCTTGTCTGATTCTAAAACGTCCCAGAATTTGAAACTTTCTTAAATCGTTTTCAAAGATATTGTATTTTTTCCACATTGCATATATGAATATCTATGTAGACTATTCCTGTATGCTGCTGTTTAACTTAGCAAAAATAGGAACATATTGCTGGTCTGACTAGACTCCTTGCTAATACAGAGGCACTCCAGCTTTAAGTGGCTAAGGTTTATTATTCCCCTCTCAGTTTACAAGCGTTTAAAAACATGTTCCGAAGACAGACAGACGGGCATCAATTATAGTGACCTCAAAGATCTGTGGCGAGGGCCTCCCATTTGTTTGTTAAAAGACATCTCAGGTCTGGAAATGATAAAAGGGGTTTGAGTGCCCTCTGGATTCTCCTTCACTGATTCCACATCAATGAATGACGAAAGCATAGGAAAGGGGAAGAGAGAGAGAGAGCAGAGAGACTGTTTATTACAAGGAGCAGGAGATGGCTGCAAGCAAGACCTCAGTTTATCTTCTCTTTGTGGAGTTATTTTATTTGACAACAATTATCTGTCAAATACAAGGGCAAAGGCAAACATGGACTGAAGAAAAGGTAAGTTTAAGAGACGTGGATGTCATTGTTTTTCCAGTATTTATTGCAGATTACATTGTAAAATGGAGAAAATGAGAAAGGGCTTCAGCTGAGCTTCTGTACCCTATCAGTCCTGTCTTGAGAATAGTACAAAGGGTTGTGTGAATGAAATAATCACCCTTTTTTCTGGGTAGAAAGCGGGGAAAGATTTAGTAAAATAATCTGTATGGATTCACTTTGTTTCTTTGGGATCCATTGCCACTGTTTCACAGGGTGCAGTGAGCAGGATTGAAAGTAAGAGTAAACAGGAAAGATTACACGGAACACACATGAGTGTGCAGTACATGAATGACAAATTTCTGTTTTAGATTTAGGTACAGTACGAAATGTATTAGGATGTATGTGTTTTTATAAGCTATTTATTGTAGTAAAGTCGGCTTTCATTTTCCAATTAGACCTGCCTGCCAATGTCAGAACATATTGTTAGGCGCTCTTTCTGAACAAGTGTTTTACAGATTTATTCTTGTTTCGGGAGGGAGAGCAATACAATACAAATTTACATTTATATAATGTCTTTCAAATTGGGAGGACATCCTTGCTGGACAGTCCAGGGTTTGTACCTGAGCTGGGGATGGGAGCGGGGCCTCAAGGGGAGTGAGGGAGGTAAAGGCGACCGAAAGCACGTTCAAAGAGGAAGGTTTTGAAGGAGGCAAGGAGTGTGAAGGAGATGAGAGATGAAGTGAGTCGATGGGACTGTGGGACAGAGTTCCGTAAGAGTAAGAGCAGATACCCTGAAAGCTTGACTGGTGATGGTATGGCGGGGCTGTGAAGCAAGCCAGTGCCTGCCGACTGGAGAGAGCGACCAGGTTGGTAGGATTTGAGGATGTTGCAGAGGGGAGGGAGAGCAGGAAGTCTATGGAGGGATTTAAAGATATCATATATTATATTATAATATAACATAATTTAAAAGTTAGGACGCAGATCTTGAACTCAATCTACTGGGGGATGTGGAGCTAGTGGAGCTGGGCAAGGACAGGGGTGATAGATTTGAGGAGCCTGCTGCAGGAAAGGACATGAGCTGCAGAATTCTGCATAGTCTGCAGCTTGTGAAGGGAAGAGTTGGGAAGTCCGGCCAGCAGAGAGTTGGCGTAATCTAACTTGGACACGATGAATGCATTGATTAGGAAATTGGTGGCCAGAGGGGACTGGTAGTGGCGGAGGCAGACAACAACAACAACAAGATTCCATTTATAGAGCGCCTTTCACGTCGGGAGGACGTCCCAAGGCACTGACAGAGGTGGGGGAAAGCTAAATGTACAGAGCATGAACGTAAGGTTTAAAGGACAGTTGAGAGTTGAACAAGACACCAAGGTTTTGCACAGGCTCCCCAAGGTAGAGTGTTAATCCAAATAGTTTGATGCTGTCAACGCCTGTGCTGAGAAGGTACTGATAGGAGCCATGTCGGAGAGCCTCCAGAGCAGCCAGAAGACTCACACTATTTTCATTACAATTACATCATTGGTCTACCCCAGTGTTTCAGTTTAATGTCTTTTCTCAGAGCCAGAGGATTAGGAAAACCTAGAGTTCAATCTCTCATGTGGACAATAATAATAATAAACAATAATAATCCTTGCATTTGATATAGCACCTTTCATATCGGGAGGGTGTCTCAAAGTGCTTCACAGGATTTACTCTAAGTACAGTGACTGTGAACGAGGCAGCCAATTTGCACACAGCAATGTCCCCCAAACAGCCATGACTAATGACCAATTTTATCTGGCCAGGAGTCTGGGAGAAATTCTTCTCTTTCGAATATTGATAAATTCAGGGAATTATTATTTCCTAACTTTTGTGAAATATAATCTGCTTGTTGCTGCAAAGTAAAGGTGATGATTCCCACTACTTATGATGCTAGGACCATCATACCCATTAGGGTTTTTGCTTGCAGGATTAACAGGAGCTGAGTGAGAAGAATCCTTGCTCAAAGTGGCTAATCTGCCACTCCAAGCCCTACTGATGAGTCAGGCTATCTGGTCTGTTATCAGCAGTGCGGACCCTCCTGGCTCAGGAACCAAACTGTCAAGACCACCACAGAGGATTTATTCGATTGAGACATTCTATTGCCAGGCATGTCACCTTATACTCATTGGGAGAGGACTCAGGCCAGGGTTCACACAAAAGGAGGAGTTCATGTCAGGAGGTTTGTAGGAGGTGGCAGAGGTGATGGTGGGGCAAGGCTGTGGAGAGATATAAAGCTGAAAATGCGGATCTTGAAAGTTCAATTCTTTGGTTTATGGGGACCCAGTGTAGTTGAGTGAGGGTGGGGGGTGATAGAATAAAACACCCGCTGCAGAGTTCTGGCTAATCTGCAGTTTGCATAGGGAACAGTTGGAGAATGGTAAGGAGTTATTAGCACAGTCAATCCTGGACATGACGAAATAAATAACTGCCAATCCATCCAAGTTTTGCATGGAAAAATGCAAGCCTATAAGTAAACATTCAAAGGGTATCGTGAGAACCTAAATGGCGGACAGTGTTTTTTTCGAGCTCTTGGGGATAGAGGTCAAATTGCACATGTGGCTGATGTTGAGCAATATTGCTTTCAGCGTTAAAGTGGGATCCTTGGGATACAATGGGACTCATATAATGGGAATCAAAGCTACTCCCTAAACCACTGATAAAACCAGAATAATTCAGTCCTTGTATGAATCAGGCTCTTATTCTTTTATGTGGATGTCAACATCAGTGTTCACACTGTGCTCTGAACATCAGCACTGCACCACGTCTGGCTGACACTAAAGTACCTCTCACAGTGTGCACTTCCCTCAGTCTTTTTATTTTTAGCTAATAAACATTTAAAATAACAGACTATCGAGGGAGTTCAATGTTCTTGTAGTTAATGATATCATCACAAACAGCCTTGAAGTGTCTCAGGGCTTAACCTTACTGTGAAGTGTAATGATTTATACAAAAAACTGTTAGCCATTTTGCCACAGCATAGTTCCACAAACAGCCATTCGGGTGAATGACCAATTTATCTGGAAGATTGTGGACAGGACAAAAACAAAATATGGCACAAGGGAATGCTAACCTGGAGGGAAAAATCAGCCAGGATTCCCACTTCTCACCACTGCCCAGCAGCCCCTGCTGGAGGTGCAGGAGGAAAGCAATCCTTCCTGGTCAGGGACCAGATGTGGGGGTAGGAAGGACATCCAGTATTGAACTGGGATAGTATCTGGAATAGGAAACACTCCAACAACACCTCTCAAGAATGTCCCTCTGGACTACTATGAGCTCAATTCCTGACTTGGGCTTAAATTTACCACATTCTGCCACAAGGGCAGGAATGTTACCAACTGAACCAGTTGATGGCCCATGTGGTACTGAAACCTTCCCCAGCAATGCTCACACAGGTCTTTGAGACATCAGAGTTTTAGAAGATAGTAAATGATTGTAAATAATAGTAAATGGCTACTCCTGAAAACTGATCCTGATGTTGAAATACCATTTAAAGCCACAGTAACGAGCCGGGAGAATTGAGTTCTTGATGTGTACTTGAGCACTGGGATCAGTATAAAGAGAACAGGAGAGGAATATACTCTTACAAACCAAACAAAGAATTATAACGTTTATGTATTTGTACTTATAATGAATTGCTTAGTATCTTTTTAGTTTCTTACTAAAACTGTAACTTTAAACCATCAGCTGTACCACAAACCCAAGTACCTGTCTAAAGTGAAGCTCCAGGATATTACATCGCAGACAAACATAACTCGGCTGTGGTATAAGGAACTATACCCAATGCTTAGGGAGAGATATTCCGGTTCCCCCGGAAACATAGCTGTGCGTCAGGTGAGTGGAGATAATCTGTAAAAGACTAATAAATCTCTTTAATTTGCAGCATTGTGTGACGTTCAAAATAGAGAGCAAATGGCAGACTTGGGGCGTAACATAACAAGATCCATGCAATAGTTACCACAATAAACAGCTACATTTACTGAAGTCCAACACTTTCCCTGCCTTATATATTTCTTTAATTTGTTGTCATTTTTTCCTCTCCCTCTCTTCTGCAGTCTTATGGCTACGTGTTTACTCTACACGTGGCAGTCCAGACAGTGAGTGACTATGAAGGATATTACAGCTAAGGTCAATGCTGTTCTCATCCACACACCATCACTGGATAATAAACACAATTGAGAACCCTGGTTGAGCTATCTTTGCACTGGCCCAGGGACACTAAGACCAATTGTAACACCCAGATCACCTGTTGTGACTGGGATCAGCTAACTCGGATAAGATCCGGCAATCAATCCTACAATCCTCTGGTTTGTATGACTTACTGTACTGGGAAGTGCCTTTTCCATAAGGCCATTTCTACAATGCAGTGGCTGGCTATTATTTATAATTTAGTTAGAGACGTACATGGAGCAAGTTAGAACTATACATGAAGGCAATGATCACCCTCAGTCACTTAGTTCCACAGGTTATAGTATAAACGCAATCAAAATTTGGAACTGACCAATATCCATTTTATGATGCTGTACCACTATTAAGCAAACAAACATTGTTTACCAAACTACAGTGTAGTTATATTGGTTTCTGTGGGATTTGATCCTTGTTAAACTGCTTTCCTCCACAGCACATTCTGAAGCATTTGAATGAGCTGCAGGCAGGTTGGATAACAGAGCAGGACACGTTTGAGGACGAAACACCTATTGGAACTGTGACATTTTCAAATATCATCAGTACCTTGAACCCCTCAGCCAAGCGAAGGCTGGTGTTGGCTTGTCACCATGACTCAAAGTATTACAACCAGTGGTGGTACAGCAGAGTATATGTGGGTGCCACTGATTCTGCTGTACCGTGTGCCATGCTACTGGAACTGGCTCACGCCTTGGACAATCAGCTGAACGCCATGAAGGTACTCTTTAGTATACATAATCATTGAACACATGAACAGATCTCAGAGCACTTCACAGGATTTCCTGTAAAGTACAGTCACTGTATATTTGTAGGCAAACACAGTACGGTATGACACAGTGCAAAGTTCTTTAGGCAATCAATGCTTCTCCTGCAGTGTATACCTTTGATATTTAGTGCATCGAATGGACCTGAATGTTTAAGTCTACAAAATCCCCTCCCCTAACGGTTCTCATGGGTGAAATTGGTAAAGCCGAGCCTATGATAATAGACTTACAGCTCATGGATTGCAGCCTTTGACGCCTGTTAGTGGGACACCAACCGTTTGGTTTAGTAAGAAGTTGGTACCTGCTAACTAGCAGTGAAAGACTCTGATCCATGAATCAAATGCTGCAGGACCAGCTTTGCGGGTTTCACAATTTAGAACAGTATCAGGGGAGATGCGGGGATGAAATGAGACAAAATATAAATTCATTGTTAAACCGACCTCTATGGGCACTTATAATAGGAAAATCCTATTTTGTGCACAGTATCAAAGTCACTACATTAGGCGACCAGAAGAATTTCCCCCTGTTATTTCTTAAAACAGGACAAGAGGGACGAAGCCTGAAGAATTTATTTTAAAAAATTAAGACACTGGTTTGGATTGAGGCCCTCAGCAGAAACGATAGGGGATTCACATTGTTAGCGTTCAAAGGGTTTCGTGTCTGGTAGGCCACTCTGTATACAATGTATAAGATCATCTATTGGGTCACAACAAATTTTATTTCTTAGGTTAGCACTTTGTTTTATATGGTGTTGGGCAATATCACCAATGTTATCTACTTAGTCTGTAAATAACTGCTATTGCATTCTATTGTTATAAGGGTAAACCCATGTAAATTAGGAAGTAGACTGCAACAATCATAGACAAGTTGCTAATAGATTTGCTGCTCTTTACTACGTTTATGCAAATATGAGCAATGTATAATGTTTCTCTTCAGCTGTACTGAATTAACAGAAATGTGTTATCCCACTGCCAACATGTGTAGATTTCTGTAGCTTTATCTGTACCTTTATCTATAAATTTATAACTTGTTCCTCTTTTTTTTAGAACATGACAGAAAGGCCAGACCTTACCCTGCAGCTCATTTTCTTTGACGGGGAAGAAGCTTTTCATATTTGGTCTGTGAGAGATTCTCTTTATGGCTCTCGCCACTTGGCGGAGAAGATGAAAAACACAATTCATCCACCCGGTGCTGACACCAATGAGTTGCACGGAATTGTAAGCATCTGATGCCATTGTCCTGTTTACTGCACAGCACTGGACAATGCTAAAACAGAGAAGTAGTAATTGTTACTTTGAGAGGAGAGGAGACAGAGGGGCTGCTCGCTAGCTGTAGCACATTTTTCATTGCATTATTGGAATTTCCCATTACAAGAACACAATCACATACTGCACATAGCAACCCATGCTTATCCCAAAATGTAGTTCACTAACTTTAGCTGTGAGTTAGATTTGTTTTCCATATCATTGATAAAAAGACCATTCAGGTTAAGTTGGAATCTGTGTTAGTCAGTGTGAGGTTGGAGGGTGTGTTACTGTCAGTGTGAGGTTGGAGAATATGTTATTGTCTGTGTGAGGTTGGAGAATGTGTTATTGTCAAGTGTGAAGTTGGAGAGTGTGTTACTGTCAGTGTAGGTTGGAGAGTGTGTTATTGTCAGTGTCAGATTGGAGAGTGTGTTACTATCAGTGTAGGTTCAATTGTCTACGTATTGAAATTGAAAAACTATGTTTCCAGTTAGCAGAGTATGAATTTACAGAGGACTAAATGTAGGATGTGAACCTTTTCTTAATTCAATAAATTCTAATGGGTAAAGTGATTGGGAATTAAAGCAGTTGGGTTAAACTTTCCATTTGATGTTATGTTGATGTGACAAAGTGCTAATTCACTGCTTACATTCCTCACAGGACCTATTTGTGTTACTGGATTTGATTGGTGCACCAAATCCAACATTTCCAAGTTACTTTTCAAATACAGCCCGATGGCACAGGAGGATGCAGTTAATAGGTAAGTTACTTAAACTTCAATGGGAACAACAGGCATGCAATGCACACTGTCATATGATTACTTTGAAAATGAATGCTTTAATTTTTGATTCTTATTTATGTAGTTCTATATATTCGGGATTGTTATGCAACATTTGGTATATATAGCATATATTTTGAGTTGTGTTCTGTAGGAGAGCATAATGGCTCATTAGAGTTTAGAAATGTTTGCCTATTCTGAGTGTAATGCGCATGGTTATACATCTGGAATCCTGTAGCTCAGTGATTAGAGAACTCGCCTCGCAAACGAGAGACCTGGATTTAATTTCCAGCAGTGCGAAATGTTGGGCAAGTTTCCTTATTCCACACGCCTCTGTTTACCTAGCAGTAAGTAGGAACATGGTTGTTAGTCAATTGGCGGATCGCTTTTCTGGGGGTAATAATTCCTTCAAAAAAATAATAATAAAGAATTGGTTACTTCAATCCACAACTCTTTGTGGGACACTGCTGTGTGCAATTGTCTGCCATGTTTCGCCCACAAAATATACACTTTACAGTATATTCTGTAAAGTTCACTTTACAGTATATTCTGTGAAGCACTTTGAGACATCTCGAAGATGTGATAAAACACTATATCAAATGTAAGGATTATTATTATGGTTGAAATTATTATTAAATGCTCTTGCAAGTTTTTTGGGGGCAAAGTATTAAGCTTCAAGAGCTCTTTTGAGCAAAACTCCTTAAATGAGCAGATTATTCAATTTCAGGTTTGAACATGACAGATGAACAATTGCACATAGTTTAGAGCTAAAGGGTGATTCCAGGACAGATAGAATCGATTACCATGGAGAGAGTAATCAATGACTGGAACAGATTACCAGGAAAGGATGGCAAAGGCCAGGTCACTACTCATTTCAAAAGCAGCTTGATTCTCTGATGGAGGTACAATAGGATAGGTATTCTGGAAGGATGAGCTGGAGGGCCTTCGTCATCCAGATCAATCTTGTACTCCTCTGTGATCTTGTGATACTTAAATGACATATGCCACAGCTAACAGTGAGCATTTGCAGGTCTTGGAATGTGCTTGTTTACAATCCATCAATATTACTTCAAGCTCTGAATTTTGAGTAAAGGCTCACTAAAACTGAATTTATTTGCATTAGAAAAATAACTTACGAGGGATGGTAAGAACTTGTTTCTTAAAATAATACGAATGATGTCTTATATTTTTATAAAGAAGCTATTTGATTGTGAGAGTAGAAATGGAGAACATTCTGTACTACACCCCAGAGAATAGTTTCCAGTCATGTTTTGCAAAACATAGCCAGAGGTTATCTGTAGAAGCAGATAATTAACTGTGGTGCAACTTGTAGAGAAGGGTAAGGACTGAAGGAAGACCATAAGACGTAGGAGCAGGAGTAGGCCATTCAGCCCCCCGAGCCTGCCCCGCCATTTAATAAGATCATGGCTGATCTTCTAACCTAATTCCATTATCCCCATATCCCTTAATCCCTCTATCCTTTAGAAATCTATCTACCTCAGTCTTGAATATGTTCAAGGACTGAGTATCCACAGCCTTCTGGGGTCGAGAATTCCACAAATTCACTAGCCTCTGAGTGAAGAAATGTTTCTTCAACTCAGTTCGAAAAGGCTCACCCTTAATCTTGAGACTATGACCCTTAGTTTTAAATTCTCCTACCAGAGGAAACAGTCTCACCGCATCTACCCTGTCAAGAACCTTAAGAATCTTATAGGTTTTTATAAGATCACCTCTAATTATTCTATATTCTAGAGAATATAGGCCTAGTTTACACAACCTATTCTCATAGGTCAACCCCTTCATCCCAGGAACCAACCTAGTGAATCTACACTGTAACCCCTCTAAGGCGAGTATGTCCTTTCTTAAATAAGGAGACCAAAACTGCAAAACTGAACAGTGAATATCAGCCAATGACTAACCAGGGAGGCAAGTGCTGCAGTTGATTACAACTGTTTTCCAGTGGAATGGATTTCCTTTTGCCTCACACTACTGTTACATCTGATAGCAAACTTACCCTAATTTTTTGTGTTATCTTTTGAACACAGACTGAAGTGTTAAAATAATAATAATCCTTGCATTTGATATACGAATACAATACAAAATTACATCTGTAAAGCGCTTTTCAAATCGGGAGGACGTCCCAAGGCACTTCACAGAATATACTGTAAAGTGTAGTGAATGTATATTTTGTGGGTGAAATGTGATCTACCAATTGACTAACAACCGGGTCCTATTTAACGCTAGGTAAACTGCGTGTGGAGCAAGGAAACTTGCCTAACATTTCCCCCTAACTGGGAATCAAACCAAGGACCTCTTGCTTGCGAGGCGAGTGCTCTAACTACTAAGCTACAGGACTGCTGGTATGCCCCTGCATTTAGGATAAATGGGGAACTTACTCCTAGTTAAACTAGTTCAACTAGATGTAATGGTGTTTCAGTGTAGAGATTGATTGAGGTTAAATAAAAATGTACTGAGACATCTGTATCTTACAACCAAATCAACTTGCATCTCATGTTGCTCAATAGAGCGCCGCCTTCATCGGTTGGGTTTATTGAACAATCATCCCATCGAGGTGAAATATTTCTGGCCCAATATGCGAGCAGGAGAGATTGAAGATGATCACATCCCATTTTTGAAAAGAGGTATGTTGTAATATAAGATAACACATTGCAATTCTTGGTCTTTGTGGTTTTGTCCGTTGATGTTCTTTTATACCTCTGCTTCACTTTGTCATAGGAGAAGGTGGGGGGTGGGGAGAAAGTGATGTCTTCCTGGAGTTAACAGTTTGGCTCCAATGAAATACACGAGTAGATCAATCTGCAAATATAGGTATCCATAGCTGCATAGGCGCCATTGACATTTACCAGTGCTTCATAAGTGTTCACTATAGTATTGCCAAACCAATTGCCCACTAAGTATAACCAAATGTTTTGATTTCCGAGATAGAGCATTTCCACACATTTTACTGTTTGAATTCTTCTTGTTCCTGTTTTTTTGTTCCTGTTTTCGTACCTTCTTCTTTTTGAAGGTCAGCAAGTAGGAAATAAAGGATGAGATTAGTGTAGAGGTCACTTGAGTGCATGCTTAAAACCATCCACGGATCCACACTCCACCTTACTAAACGGGTCCGGAACCTTGGTGTCTTGTTTGACCCTCAACTATCCTTTCTACCCCACATCCGTGCCATGACCCGCTCTGCCTTCCCCCACCTCAGCAACATTGCCCGGCTCCGCCACTGTCTCACACCGCAGGCCGCCAAAACCCTCATACACGCTTTCATTACATCGAGGCTTGACTATGAAAACCCCCTGCTTGTCGATCTCCCCAACGCCTCCCTCCATAGGCTGCAGATCATCCAGAGTGCTACAGCCCATGACCCCTCTTGCACTAGGCTCCGTGACCCTATCACCCCCATCCTCACCCAACTCCACTGGCTTCCCATCACACAGAGGATACAGTTCAAGATCCTGGACCTCATCTTCAAAGTTCTCCATGGTCTTGCTCCCACCTACCTCTGTGACCTCCTAACCCCCTACCAACCTGCCCACTCCCTCCGGCCAGCGGACTCTGGCCTGCTTCACGTGCACTACATTGCCCACCTCACCATTGGCGGGTGGGCCTTCAGTTACTCTGCCCCCACCCTCTGGAACTCCATCCCACAGTCCCTCCGCCTCGCCCCCTCCTCCCTTGCCTCTTTCAAAACCCATCTCAAGACCCTCCTCTTCGACCATGCTTTCGATCACCCTGCTTCCCTCCCCACCACCCTCCCCAATCCCGACCCCTAGCTCGGGTTCAAAACTCTGAATGTCCAGCAACTTGGGGCTTCCTTGCGACATGAAAGGTGCTATACAGATGTGATGATTGAAATTGATTGAAATTAATATTTCAATTGGACCTCATGCAAGATAGGTTTTAATGAGGTTCACTTGTTCCTATGTCTGACCCACAGTTGGCTTTCCATATCTACAACATTGGTTCTGAAGGTTTGGTGTGATAACTGACAAAGAAATGTTGGAAACAACAGCATCTTGCATTAATATAGCGCCCTTCACATGGAGAAGCATTTCAAAGGGCTGAGATCGTATTACACTTTTTGATTTTTTTTAAAAAAAAGGAATATGAACAAAGGGCGAATGGTCCAAAATTAAGTGTGTAGACCTTTCACTACTGAAATGAGACTAGCACCTCAGCATATCTTACAAAAGGACAAGGGGAGATGAGAAGTTGAACACACTAATATTCAACTGCTAGATTTCACAAATAATGTTCTTTATTCAATTCATGTATGCACTTCCTGAGGTAGAATAAACATATCTTTAGTTTGCTAAAAATACACACATGTGGGAAGAAATTTATTGAAGTACGACCAGCCTGGCTCAGTGGTAGTATTCTTGCCTCTGAGTCGTAAGGTTTGGTTCAAGCCCCACATTAGGACTTGGAATCATATAATTCAAGCTGACAACAACAACAAGATTCCATTTATAGAGCGCCTTTCACGTCGGGAGGACGTCCCAAGGCACTGGACAGTTGGGTCAGGACCCGAGCAGGGGGGAAATGGTCAGGGGGAGGGGAGGGGGGGAGGGAACGAGGAGGGGGTAGAGAGTCGAGAGGGGAGCTGAAGGCTCGGTCAAAGAGAAAGGTCTTGAGACCGGCCTTGAAGGAGGAAAGGGAGGAGGCAAGGCGAAGGCACTGGGGGATGGAGTTCCAGAGCATCGGGGTTGAGAGGCTGAAGGCCCGGCCATCGATGGTAGGACGGTTGGGGCGGGGGATGTTGAGCAGACCGGAGCCAGAGAAACGGAGGGTACGGGCAGGTAGGTAGGGGGATAGTAGGTCGGAGAGGTAGGAGGGAGCAAGGCCGTGAATGGCCTTGTAGGTGAGGATGAGGATCTTGAATTCGATCCTCTGGGGGATGGGGAGCCAGTGGAGGCGAGCGAGGGTGGGAGTGATGTGGTCCCGAAGCCTGGTGCGGGACAGTACACGAGCTGCAGAGTTCTGAATGACCTGCAGCTTGTGGAGGGAGGTGCCGGGAAGGCCGGCGAGGAGAGAGTTCCCATAGTCCAGCCTTGAGGTGATAAAGGCGTGGACCAGAGTTTCAGCAGCGTGAGGGGTGAGGTAGTGCCGTAGTCTGGCGATATTCCGGAGGTGATGGAAGGCGGTGCCAGTTGTGGCGCGGATATGAGGGAGAAAGGACAGCTCAGGGTCGAACAGAACACCGAGGTTCCTGACTGGCTTTGAGAGGTGGAGAGTGCAGCCTTGGATGCTGATGCTGTCAGCGCCTGAGGTGCGGAGGCGCTGACGTGAGCCAATCAGGAGGGCCTCAGTTTTACGCACGTTGAGCTGAAGAAAGTTGTCTCTCGTCCAGGACTCGATGTCGGACAGGCAGCTGTCAGGACATCGGTGGTCGTGGAGTTGAGGGTAGAGGAGGAAAGGTAGAGTTGGGTGTCATCCGCATACATGTGGAAGTTAACCCCATGTCTGCGGATGATGTCACCAAGGGGGAGCATATAGAGGGTGAAGAGGAGGGGACCGAGGACAGAGCCCTGAGGGACACCGCACGAGACAGTGCGGGGGGTGGAGGAAAAGCCGTTCGTGGAAACAAAATGAAGACGGTGGGAGAGGTACGACCTAAACCACTCAAGGACAGGGCCTTGAAGGTTGAGGTGGGAGGACAAGCGGTGGAGGAGGATAGCGTGGTCGACCGTATCGAATGCTGCCGATAGGTCGAGGAGGACGAGGAGGCAGAGGGAGCCCTGGTCACAGATGGTCAGGATGTCATTGGTGACCTTGACCAGGGCAGTTTCTGTGCTATGGGCAGCACGGAAACCCGACTGAAGGGGTTCGAATAATGAATGGGTGGAGAGGAAAGAGCGCAGCTGGGAGGCGACAACTCTTTCAAGGACCTTGGACAGGAAGGGGAGGTTGGAGATGGGCCGGTAGCTTGATAGCTGCGACGCATCAAGGGAGGGTTTTTTCAAGGTGGGAGTGATGGTGGCAGTTTTTAAGGGAATGGGAACAGAGCCAGAGGAGAGGGACAGGTTGATGATGTCTGTGATATGTGGGGCAAGGAGGTGGAGCTGGGAGATAAGGAGTGGAGTGGGGATGGGGTCAAGGGAGCAGGTGGTGGGTTTCAGGGATAGGATGAGTTTGGTGACAGAGGGTGGGGAAACGGGTACGAAGTGTGTAGGGGAGGATGGGTAGGAGTCGGAGTGTGGGAGGGAGGGGTGGGGGGTGGGTGGAGTTGGAGGGGAAGTGACCGCGGAGCGGATTCCCTTGATTTTGGATTCAAGGAAATCCAGCATCTCCTCACAGTGAAGGTTGGAGGAGATGACCTGTGCGGGGTGGCGGGGGGGACGGAGGAGTCGGGATGTGGTAGAAAACAGAAGCCTGGGGTTGTTCTTCGCCTCCAGGATTATCCTGGAGTAGAAGGACGACTTGGCCGAGGCTAGAGTGGAGCGGTAGATTTTGAGGAGGTCCAGCCAGATTTGTCGGTGGACCGTTAGGCCAGATTTGAGGCAGGTGCGTTCAGCGGCCCACACCTGGCTCTTCAGTGAGCGGAGTGGGTAGTGAACCAGGGGGAGGAGCAAGAATAGGAGACAGTACGGGAGGTGATGGGGGCAAGAGAGTCGAGTGTGGAGGAGAGGGTGTTGTTGAGGAGGATGAGAGGAGAAGAGGTGTCAGTGAGGGTTGAAGGCCAGAGGGAGAGGAGTTCAGAGGACTCCAAGGCAGCGGTTAGGGATTGTGGGGTAACTTCTTCCAGGGACGGTAGAAGATGGTGGTGGGTCTGGTGGAGGTGGGGAGGGGGTGGAGGTGGTGAAGGAGATGAAGTGGTGATCGGACAATGCAGTGCTGGGGACAAGTTGCATTGTCAGGGATGCCTTCCTTCAGATGAAACATTAATCTGAGGTCCCGCTTTGAGTTTGATGAGAACTCAGGGCTTTGCTAAAGACTCATTTGTCCACTTTTATTTATTAGAGGATTAAGATCATTAAGTGGCTTGAAATTGGTGTGTTTATGCTTGACCAATTCAATGGAGCTAATGCCAGCCCCATCTCTGGAGGACAATTGCTTTCCCTTTAGAGAATATACCAATAATGTTTATGTGTTTCTTTTATGTCAAAACAGGTGGGTGTCAAAGATCCCATGGCACTATTCAAGAAGAGAAGGAAGTTTATCCGGGCATCCTGGCCAACAAATCCCCAAAATAAAATAAGTCACTCACTCGATAGGTGTTTGTAGGACAATGATGTGCTCAAATTGGCTGTGCATTTGCCCACAAAATGAACAGTCAACCCACTTTGCAGTATGACCTGTGAAGAATTTTGAGATGTTTCAAAGATGTGATCAAGCACTATATCAAATAAAGTATTATTATTATAAATTTTATCTGAATTTTTAGAGGTTCCAAATTTGGCAATGCTTAAATACAGTTTTCATTTTGAAGCTGTTTTTCTGTGGTTTATTTGAAGAACTGCAGTAAACAGACTTCAACATCAGTGAAGTAACTGGACTTTGGTAAATTGTTTTTTACCATCCAGCGTGGAGGGCTCTATATAAATCCAAGTTGTTGTTATAATAATAATAATAATCCTTGCATTTGATATAGCGCTTTTCACGTCGGGAGGACGTCCCAAAGTGCTTCACAGAACAAACTGTAAAGTGAATTGACTGTATATTTGTGGGCGAACGCGGCAGCCAATTGCGCACAGCAATGTCCCACAAACAGTCGTAGATTGAAAATGACCAATTTATTATTGTTTTGGGTTTTGGAGGGATTATTATTAGGCGTATGGAGTAAGGAAACTTGCCCAAGGTTTCACCCTCTGCCTGGAATTGAACTCAAGTCTCTCGCTTGCAAAGCGAGTGCTCTAACCACTGATCTACAGGACTCCACTTGTTGTTGTTGAATTCAGTATGAAAAGATAGATATTCTAAAATGCTACGTAAGATGGACTTCCATCCTAGTGGTGTAATAAGAATAGGTTTATTATTATTTTCTGAACAATGTAACATGAAATGAAATGTGCCATCTGCATGCCGAGTAATACTGTAATACTATTCTGTATTCAACAGGAGTTCCTATTCTGCATCTCATACCTACACCTTTCCCTCGGGTGTGGCACAGCATGGAAGATAATGAGGAAAATCTGAATCCAACAACGATTGATAACCTTGATAAAATCCTGCAGATCTTTGTTCTGGAGTATCTTAGAATACAATAAGATACAATGCACAGTGCTTGTAAATACAGTGTCAAATGTCTCACAAATTCCACCCCCTACCACCCACAAGAATACAAATAACAGGTTTACTCTCTCCTTCGTGGTAAATGTATACATTTGGCATTAAATGAAAATCAAGTGTATTTGTCAGTCCAAGGCAGATCCACATTGTTGCTGATGGTTATTGTGGTTTTGTTTGTCCTTGTTAATTGAAAGTAGATCACATCAGAGCGGGGTTACCATTGGCATGACCCATTTCTAGACATTACACTACTTTGAAGGGTCACACATTGAAACCCACTGTGTGTTAGATACTTTACAACAACATCTAAAAAGCCTTCTATGTCATTACCACTGTGTAACTGTCGGAACAAGCACCTCAGTGTAAAGCAGCGATTTCTCCAGAATCCATAGAAACATAGGGCTTTGAGTTTGATGAGAACTCAGGGCTTTGCTAAAGTCTCATTTGTCCACTTTTATTTATTAGAGGATTAAGATCATTAAGTGGCTTGAAATTGGTGTGTTTATGCTTGACCAATTCAATGGAGCTAATGCCAGCCCCATCTCTGGAGGACAATTGCTTTCCCTTTAGAGAATATACCAATAATGTTTATGTGTTTCTTTTATGTCAAAACAGGTGGGTGTCAAAGATCCCATGGCACTATTCAAGAAGAGAAGGAAGTTTATCCGGGCATCCTGGCCAACAAATCCCCCAAAATAAAATAAGTCACTCACTCGATAGGTGTTTGTAGGACAATGATGTGCTCAAATTGGCTGTGCATTTGCCCACAAAATGAACAGTCAACCCACTTTGCAGTATGACCTGTGAAGAATTTTGAGATGTTTCAAAGATGTGATCAAGCACTATATCAAATAAAGTATTATTATTATAAATTTTATCTGAATTTTTTAGAGGTTCCAAATTTGGCAATGCTTAAATACAGTTTTCATTTTGAAGCTGTTTTTCTGTGGTTTATTTGAAGAACTGCAGTAAACAGACTTCAACATCAGTGAAGTAACTGGACTTTGGTAAATTGTTTTTTACCATCCAGCGTGGAGGGCTCTATATAAATCCAAGTTGTTGTTATAATAATAATAATAATCCTTGCATTTGATATAGCGCTTTTCACGTCGGGAGGACGTCCCAAAGTGCTTCACAGAACAAACTGTAAAGTGAATTGACTGTATATTTGTGGGCGAACGCGGCAGCCAATTGCGCACAGCAATGTCCCACAAACAGTCGTAGATTGAAAATGACCAATTTATTATTGTTTTGGGTTTTGGAGGGATTATTATTAGGCGTATGGAGTAAGGAAACTTGCCCAAGGTTTCACCCTCTGCCTGGAATTGAACTCAAGTCTCTCGCTTGCAAAGCGAGTGCTCTAACCACTGATCTACAGGACTCCACTTGTTGTTGTTGAATTCAGTATGAAAAGATAGATATTCTAAAATGCTACGTAAGATGGACTTCCATCCTAGTGGTGTAATAAGAATAGGTTTATTATTATTTTCTGAACAATGTAACATGAAATGAAATGTGCCATCTGCATGCCGAGTAATACTGTAATACTATTCTGTATTCAACAGGAGTTCCTATTCTGCATCTCATACCTACACCTTTCCCTCGGGTGTGGCACAGCATGGAAGATAATGAGGAAAATCTGAATCCAACAACGATTGATAACCTTGATAAAATCCTGCAGATCTTTGTTCTGGAGTATCTTAGAATACAATAAGATACAATGCACAGTGCTTGTAAATACAGTGTCAAATGTCTCACAAATTCCACCCCCTACCACCCACAAGAATACAAATAACAGGTTTACTCTCTCCTTCGTGGTAAATGTATACATTTGGCATTAAATGAAAATCAAGTGTATTTGTCAGTCCAAGGCAGATCCACATTGTTGCTGATGGTTATTGTGGTTTTGTTTGTCCTTGTTAATTGAAAGTAGATCACATCAGAGCGGGGTTACCATTGGCATGACCCATTTCTAGACATTACACTACTTTGAAGGGTCACACATTGAAACCCACTGTGTGTTAGATACTTTACAACAACATCTAAAAAGCCTTCTATGTCATTACCACTGTGTAACTGTCGGAACAAGCACCTCAGTGTAAAGCAGCGATTTCTCCAGAATCCATAGAAACATAGGGCTTTGAGTTTGATGAGAACTCAGGGCTTTGCTAAAGTCTCATTTGTCCACTTTTATTTATTAGAGGATTAAGATCATTAAGTGGCTTGAAATTGGTGTGTTTATGCTTGACCAATTCAATGGAGCTAATGCCAGCCCCATCTCTGGAGGACAATTGCTTTCCCTTTAGAGAATATACCAATAATGTTTATGTGTTTCTTTTATGTCAAAACTGCTATATAAATATAATCTGTTGATAATATTTCCACACTGTGTCAAATAGTAAGTAAAGGACTGCTTTAATCTGAAAGTTTGCTAACAAAGTTACCCAAAACATTATTTCTGCAGCATTTTTTTTTACCCGGCTGCTGGGAAAGAGATGGCGGTGTAAAAAATTCTGAAAATCTGTTTCAGTAACCTCATGAGTCGGCGATACTACGCAGAGGACATTCCCCAGACTATATATAACCAGCTGCTCTGAGACAGAATATGGATAATTGTTGAAGCATTTCCTATCTAGTATATTCACGAAATTCACCAATATACATTTCACCTTTTAAACCCACTGTGCTCCTGTGTTAATGTTGGAAAAATTAAAATTGCACATAAAAATGTTGTAAAATCTTCAGATTCATTCCAGGAATAAAATGACCATGATCTTAAATATCAAAATTCATAGTCATTTTGAAGCCAAGTATGATAATGTGTAAATAAAAAACTGTTGAATGTAATGGTGCAGTGTATAGTCACATTGTGATGTACTGCATGAAATAAAATCAACATTAACAAGGTGGACCAATAAATTACATGTTCCCTGATCACTTTGGGTCAACTTTCCTGTTTAATAAAAGTTTTTTTTTGGGTGGGGGTGAGAAGAGCCATAAGCACTCTGTAATTTTCATTGCAAAAACATGAACAAGGAATGTTTAACCTGATTTGTATTTTGTTACATTTTGTGCTTGCAATCCCAAAAATGGTTTGCCAAGCACTTTTTCATGATATTGTACTTCAATATTTGTAGATCATTAGTTGCAACTGAAATGTATCATAATCATTTATTAATAGAACAAGTAGTTCGGCTTTATTTAGAAGACTAGCTTAGTACAAGCAGTGACTAATAGTTACAAATTTAGCTGCTGAAGTTTATTTAATTGGGGGATAAGCAAAATCGTTTAGATTGAGGGGGACATTTACAAAGCATTATTTTAATGCTTCTTGTTGATTAAACAAAGTGAATAATTTAAAGTAGCTGTTTTGTTTCAATTACCTTATATTCAAAGATCTTTAAATAAATAAAAAGTAATGTCAATGTTTTACAATACCACTAGAGAACAAAACACTTGTGGATGCCATTATTATATTGTGATGTTTCAGCTGAAATGAAAACATATCATAGGCCTCATACTACAATACTGCAGTATAAACGAGATCTTAAAGCATGGAGAAGAAAACTATCAAGTTACTGGGTTGTGGGGCCCTGGTGGAGAACTGGCTGTTTCCAGTTTGATACTGCACCTTTCATGTTGGGAGGACGTCTTAAAGAGCTTCACGGGATATACTGTAAAATGTTGTGACTGTAATTTGTAGATGACTGCAACAACCAACTTTCACAGAGCTATGTCCCACAAACAGCCATGAAGTGAATGACCAATTTTATTTGGGGGATTGTCACCAGGTCACCGGGAAAAACTCCCTTTTTTGAATAGTGCCATGGGACCTTTAGCATCCATCTGAACAGGCAGAATTAAACATCAGTTTAATGTCCCATCTGAAGGACGGCACCTCTGAGGGACGGCACCTCCGACTATGTAGCACACCCCCAGCACTGCATTGGAGTGTTAACCTAAATTACATGAGTTCAAAGTCCTGACATGTACATCGGCTACGCCATCAGGGTAGTCTAAAGTCCCCAACTGGAGTTGTCTGAGGATTGCAAATGAGAAAAAATACATAGGAAGGGAGGAAAATCTGAGAGTATCAACCCATACCGGTGTTATGCCCTTGTTAAATTATAATCAGTTTTGGGAGACAATGCAAACATGTTAATATGCAATCCTTTTAAAAATGAGAAAGATTAACAAATAGAGGGGAGATTTCAAAACAAAGATTTATTCTAAGAAACAATTCATGCAGTAAAATTTGCAAGATCAGCTGCAGTAAATCTCTGGATTCGATTTGCTGACATGGTAACCATACTCTTGAACTGCCACGTCTCTCAGAGTATGTTTTCCAGGGTTATTATTTGCCATAAAACAGTGGGGAGTATCTGTGAGTTAGAATTAAGATCAGACCTAAAATTCAAATTCCAGCTATGAGCATACGATATTACAGTTGGCATGCAAAACACCTGGAAAAGGAATTATAGCAAATGTTTTAAACTCTGCTTGCTAAATTTACACTTCCTGCTTCAACCGTCTCCCTAAGGAGCCTGTTCCACAGGTTCACTATTCACTCACTGTAAAGATTTTGATGGTTTTATTAACTGTGACTACAAAACGGACCGTGGCATCCAGGGCCCTGGGACGTTGTTGCGATGTGAAGGGCGCTATACAAGTGTAATTTGTTGTTGTAGCTTAGTGGTTGGAGCATTCGCCTAGCAAGTGAGAGGACTTGGTTCAATTCCTGGCAGGGCGAAATGTTGGGCAAGTTTCCTTACTCCACAAGCCTCTGTTTACCTAGCAGTAAGTCGGAACCCAGTTATTAGTTGATATTCCGGTGGATTGCTTTTGTAGAGGTAATAATCCCTCAATCCAGACTATTTGTGAGGCACTGCTGTGCGCAATTGGCTGTCACGTTTCGCCCACAAAATATGCAGTCAATTCACTTTAAAATATATCCTGTAAAGGTCTTTGAGACGTCTTGAAGACGTGATAAGGCAATACATCAAATACAAGAATTATTATTATAATTATAAAGCTGAGTAATTATAGCCTTATGATACAGGGCTAAAGTGTATTTTTGAACAAAGTAGCAGACAGGGCTTTGTGTCAGCAAATGTGGGGGATGAAATTCCACCTGTATCTTCATTTACTGTCTTTTGTTAGGATTTCAGAACATCCGAAATTTGACAAATAGTTCAATTCAGTCTTCACTTTAAAGCAATTTTTCCGTAGTTCTTAAAATAACTTAGAAATTAGCTTCAAAATCAAGACTATGTGTAAAAAGCTGCAACTCTCTAGATACTAGTAGAGTAAATCTAGACCCAGGAAGAATTTTACCCTATAGTATGTAGAATTTGCCAAATTCTGGATGTTCTGAAATATGATATGTTGCAATCTTAGTTTTTTTTGGAGGACTAGCAAAGGCAAAATCACAAGTCGCCTGCTCACTCCCTGCTGGAGAACATTGTGTAGTAAAGGGGCCTAAAGAATGGTGGAAATAACTTATCAAATGAGGAATAGTATTCAGCAAAAACATTTATGTGTTTTATGATAAAGAAATAACAACTTGCACGTATATAGTGCCCTTCATGAGGGGTAGCGTCATGGAACGCTTAACAGTGATGGAGCTGGACTCTGAGCCAATGAGGGAGGGGAACTGACTGTCAGCACGGTCAAAGAGAAAGGTCTTCAGGTGTGATCTGAAGATATGCAAGAATGAGGCAAGGTGAAGGGATTGAGCTCGGGAGTTCCAGAGTTTCGGGGTGAAATGGCTGAATGCACGGCCGCTGATGGTGGAACGGAGAGGACAAGGGATGTGCAGGAGGTCGGATCCAGTTGAGAAAAGGGGCAAGTAGAGAAGTGGGGGGAAGTAGTTAGAGAGGTAGAGAGTGCCAAGGCATGTAATGAATGTACGTGAGTGTGAAGATCTTGAAATCTATCTGTTCTGCAATAAGGAACCAGTGGAGCCTGGTAAGGATGGGAATGATGGGGATACAGAGTTAAACATGAATGAGGATATGGGCACCAGAGTTTTGAATTAAATGGATTTATGAATAGTGAGTTGGGAGGCCAGTGAGGAGGACATTGGAATAATTAAGGTAACAAAACTGCTTCATTCTGATATTGCTTTTTTCAAAATCTGAAGGAATATGTTGTTCTCCCACTCCCCACACACATTTTATTCAATAGCAAATGTATATTCACTCAGAAGACAGAAAGCACA